AGTTAAATTGCCTCTAAAGTCTAAGTGTACCATTTATACTTAGATGTGAATGGTAATCTGAATTCTCAGATTTTGGGGGAATTTTAGATCCTGAGTACCAATCTACAATAGAGAACTAACTGCCTGAACTATAAGCAGAGGTAAAAAATGGGCAAGCCAGTCTTTTGGATCGAAATAAGGGATCATTCAATATTAGTGGCTGTACTCACTTAGCACAAAGTCATGCCTTATGTCAGGGTTGAGTGTGGTTAGGGAGAAGCCTGGCCATGTAGTGCCTAGTATGGTATAGATGACAGTTTGTATTGAACTGTTATACTAGAAAGAAAATATAAATAAATCAGCCCTCTCTGAGAACAGTTTTCATGGCATTTAAGTACTTGAACCTTGTGGTACTGACTGATCAGAGATAAGGGAGGATTGATTCTCAAAGCTTTTGGACATAGATTGTGGCAGCACCCTGTTGCAAAGAGCAATGTCTTATGTGTACCACAGTTGTCTCTTCTGATGTAGGAGGAAGAGGTTATAGCATATATATGTTGGGGGTGAGTTTGAGGTATTGAGCAAGTGACTTTTTACAGCTCTGAATTTTGGGGTTAGATGTCCTTTGTTTCTAGACAGTATCTCAGAATTTCAAAGTTGTAAGGGACCCATTTAGTGAAACCCATATCCGAAAAGAATCCCTGCTAACATACTTAACAGTGGTCATCCAACCTTTCCTTGAAGATTCCTTGAAGTTGGGGAAATCCTCTCACTCCCTCCTGAAGTAGCTCATTCTGCTTTGGGACAGCTCTGATTATTAGGAAGTTTTTCACCACATTAAGCCTAAATTTGGCTTTTTGCAGTTTCTGCTCATTGGTCTTGGTTTTGCCCTTTGGGGCCAAATAGGACAAGTTTAATTTCTTTTCTACATGACAGCCCTTCAGATGCTTGAGGAAAGTAATTATGCCCCTGGCCTTGTCAGTCAGCTTTTCTTCAAACTAAACATTGCTAATTCCTTAAAGCTCTCATCTTAAAACACCATCATCCATTATCTATAGATCTATTCTTAAAAGATCTTCTGTCCCGTAGGTATAAGATGTTTATGTACTCCAAAATATCTGATTTCATCAGTTTGGCTATTCCACCAGCATAGATCACAATGCCTTAGTCTTTATGAGTTGATGACTGAGTTCAGGAATAGGAGAATAATAAGAGTTAACATTCCCCAGTGGAAAAGTTGTTCCCCAATTTAGTAATTTTAAAAAAAATATGTATTTTTTTCCTCCATCAAAAAATTTATTGCCTAATGGCCAACCTTTTGTTGATGAGCCTTTCTGAAATGAACTACATTGTTCCTCAGACAGCGTTTATATACTACATCACTGGGTCCATACTTGAGGCTTTTACAGTTTTGTAAGACTTGCCAACTTTATGTTTGACCTTTAAAGGCAGAGCCTTTGTAGAAGCAAAGATTTAGATTTGGAAGGCCAACAGAGGCCATCTAGTTCAACCTCTTATTTTTTTTTTTGCCTTTTCGAGGTTAAGTGACCTGCCTAGGGTCACACAGCTAGTGTCATGTGTCTGAGGCTGGATTTGAACTCAGATCCTCCTGACTCTAAGGCTGGAGCTCTATCCACTGCACCATCTAACTGCCCCCAACCTCTTCATTTTAAGGATGAGGAAGTGAGGCCAATAGAGGTGAAGCCAGATAGCAAGTAACAGAATCAGGAATTGAACACAAGCCTCTTGACTTCAAATATGACTTCCTTACTCTACTTTCAAGTATCCTGGGTTACCAGCATACCATCATAAGGCATCAAATTAAACCTAATGAAAGAGGTAGTTATATATGACACCAGTAGTACTTTACATTTGTATAGCATATTCAATTAATGACTTTTTGAAATCTTATCTATATTCATAGTGTCTGTGCTTCTCTCTCCATTCTACTCCCCCCCCCAAAACCCACCCCAACAATCTAAACTAGACAAGACAGTTACACATTGCTTTAACTAAGGTAGAGATGGTCACAGTTTGTCTCCATGGGGGATACTAGTCAAAGAAGGGTTACATCTGGGGAACAACTTACTATCCATTAAAAGATAATACTATGTAGGTAATATTTGTTGTACTGCTTTTTTCCCCTGAAAAATATTCTGCGAATTGGAGGAAAATGGTATAAAAATGAGTCCAAACTATCTAGTCTGAACTAGAGCACATGTTAGAAGACAAGGCTACATGTCAACTTCATCAGCTATGGGACCGTGTCCCAACTGGTCTTATTACCAGATGTTTAGTCTTTGATTTGGCGTGTCCCAACTGGTCTTATTACCAGATGTTTAATCTTTGATTTGGCTCTTGGTTTCTCTCTTAACTTTCTAACATGGTTACCATTTAAGAATGAAAGAATGGTTTGCTGATTTATCCCATGATAATAATGACGGGTAAATGTGTATCATCCATATGATTATGATTCTTTGTTCTCTGTACCTCCCTTTGTGTGCACTCTTCCTACCTGAAAATGTTGAAGTCAAACTTTCTGTCTTTTGCATTGATGATCCTGAACTTTGGAAGACTTGATAAGAGTAGTGGTGAACTCTGTTTAATTAAATCCTGTCTACTGATTATTCATTCTTCTTCAGCTGTGTTTATCAAATATAAAAGACTCCCTTCTTAAAAAGGACTTCCTGAAGAGCTGAGCAGTTATGGAGCTGGTGGAGTAGGGTGGGTACTACCTGTCTGAAAAATTACCTTCTCAGTTATAGTGCTACAGTGTGACTAGAGTTGATTGCTGTCAGAGCACTGTAATCACATGATTCACCCCCCTGCCCATTTTAACAATTAAACAAATCAACACAGTAGATTAGATAGCATAATGAATCAAATCAAGCATTCTTGTATGTGGGGGTGAACTCTAGTTGCCCCTGGGAATTCTCAGAATACATCTTGAACAGGATATCACAAAGACAACCTTCTCTGTGTCACGAGGGAATTGTACTTAAAATAACCATATTGTTAAGAAGTTGGGGATGTGTGCGCAGATTATTCACTTTACCAGAAAGAAATTGCCACAGGGAACTCATTAAGTAGCTGTTACTGTGTGTAAAATAGAATTAAATTTATATGCAACTTTTCAGGAGGGCACCCACTGTGTACAATGAGGCACACATGGAACAAGTAGTAATGTGACCAAAATCATTGAAGTTAAAGTTGGTGGAACCTAAGTGAAGAATTGCAATCATTGTGGTAGCACTATCTTGGTGGGGAGAACAAGAGCTGAACTTCAACAGAGGATGAATTCAATAATGGTAATAACAGAGCTTAGATGTCATGACTGTAATTGGTTTAAATCTAAAATGATGTTTGCATTTTGGCTTTTACAAGAAAGCTAATCTCAAGCATATCCATACCATGCATGCTAAACCTGTTATACATAGATGCAAACTGCATCAATATCCATGGGATCTAGCTGAAGTCAAAACAGCACACTTAGTTCCAGAGTTCTGGGGCAGTCATAAGTCACCCATAATGTATTGTACCAGCTTATTTTGGGGGAGCAGTTTTGGTGTCGTAAAGGTAAGTGAAGAGTGCCAGGTCAAGTCCTTTATGGTAAATTCCATCCAGACAAAAGCTTATGTAACCTTCCTAGCCTGAGCCCATAGCCTATTTGTTCTGAGGAATATTTATATTCTTGTCCAACAAAAAAAGTTCAAATTGGCTCTTGAAGTTGTCATAGGGATTTTTTATGTTTGAAACACCTGAACTCTTCTTTTCATAGACTATATCAACCTGCCAGAATAACTAGTTTAAATTATCTACAAAATTTGGTTGCACTGCTTTTTTTCTCCCATCGGAGTAACTATATTATTTGTCTATGTTGGGTTAATTTTGATGTAATGTACTGACTTGAAGGGAATTTTCTTTGGTTTCAGGAAGTGGGCTTCTTATATCCTGGCTACTCATGTTGGTCACTGAGAAAGCCTTTAGAGTTTGTTTTTTTATTTGCACAGCCATAGGAGAGATTTTCATTTTCTTGGCTAGGCAATGGGGTTAAGTGACTTGCCCAGGGTCACATAGCTAGTATGTGTCTGAGGCTGGATTTGAACTCAGGTCCTCCTGAATCCAGGCCCGGTGTCCTATCCACTGCGCCACCTAGCTGCCCCCATAGGAGAGATTTCTGTCTCTGTTGTGTATGATGTGAAATGCTTGAAAAGAGTGTGGCTGGGATAAGGAGGGTGAGAAAAATAAAGCTAATCATTTTCATGTTCTTTAAACAAAGTCCTGGTATGAAATTGTGTTGAAATATCATATCTAAAATGAAATAGTTAGACCGCTTTGATAGTTCTCCGTACTGGAGAGTGTAAATATTCACTATTCCTTGAAGGCCAGGGTTGGACCATATGATCTTTCATGATTCTTTCTAGTGCTCTGATTTGATGCCCTCTTATAATGCAAGTAGGTGCAAAATAAATGCTTTCTTTTGAAGATGGGTGCTACCTTTTAAGACCAAGCAAAATCTGTTTACTTTTTATTCTGCATAATCCTTTCAATATTATGAAATAACTACAGGGTTACCCTATACAGAGATTGGAAGTTGGAATGGACCTCAGAAACCAGCTGATCCAGTCCCCTAAATTCTTCTCCATGCTGAGTCTCTCCTGTTTTCTAACTTGGTTCTTATGTGGCTTGGTTTTAAAGCCCCCTTACCATCTTGATCCTTACTAGAGAACTGAGCCGAAGCTGGGCAAAGCAGCTCTGAATTTTGTGATACAACCTGTGGAATGAGGGTCTAGGCTAGACAGATGACCTTTGAGCATCCATCCAATTCTGAGATTCTGCAGCTTTGCTAAAGGTAAGGAAGTTGGCAGCCCTTTTTATGTCTTTCCTCCTACAGGGGAAAAAAATGATGGAGTCAGCGTCATCCTGATAGAAAGGACCCTGACCACAGGATATTAGATCAAAACTATTGTTATCTTAAACATTATATTTTTAATTCTCAAAAATATTTAAGACAGTAAAGATTGTACTATGTAACAGGTGGACAGATGCTCTTGGTTCCCCCGCATCCCCCTGTTCCCATCAAAAATAAGTTCAAAAGGCATAAATAATTCCATTTTGCACAAAGAAGGCCTAGACCGTTGGCCTCGGTGTCTTCTGGCTCAGTGGCCTCATGGTGGACTCAGCCAGTACACACCTGTCAGTTTCCCTTGCACACACACACACTTATGAAGCCACACAGTTTGTAGAAGATGCTTCAAACTGGTTTTTTCATAATGTCTCAAATGTAAATGTTTCCTGAATATGTAGTTGGACACTGAACTCTGTACATTAAGGTGCTTAATTTGATAAGGATTTTATTCAGTGCATTCAGAAGATGATGAATCAAAATATCTCTGCTAAAACTCTTCTCTCTTAGACCACTGGTTATATCTTTGGGATTGGCAGGACCATGAGTGGAATCCTTCTAGGGGGTTTGGTTGAGAAGGGGTTGGCAGAAGCCACAGCTTGGCTGTAGTGAATGGATATGTTGCCAAATGAATGAATACTGTCAGGTACATAGAGCAGAGTTTGGGATTTGACTCCTCCCCGGTAACCAACTCCAATACCTTCTTCCTGTAGGCTGTCAGTAGGAAAACCAGAAATGTAGATTTCATAGCACCATGTTTTGCATCATCCAAACTCTTCCCTCTGAGGTACTGAGAAACTAAAGCACTTTAACAGTAGCTGGGGAGTAAGGAGGGAAGTGTGTGTGTGTGTGTGTGTGTGTGTGTGTGTGTGTGTGTGTGTGTTTGTATTTAGCCTGCCTCTCTGATTGCTGAGGCTGGTGACATAAATCCCTGCCTGTCCGAGTCTTCACATCCCATAACTGCTAGGGGTAGAAAACAAAACCTTATTCCCTGGGATAAATTGCTCCTTGGGATGTAGGACTTCCCTTGGCTCTGAGTTAATCTGGCAGGGGATAGGGAGGAACCTCATGAGGTCTTCCACCTGCTGTTGTCCAATCCAGCTTGGAGAAAATGTGGTAAAGAATCAGGATGGGTGGGACGATTGATGAGCCGTCAGCAGAATTTCAGGTGGGTAGGAGATGAACGTACCAAATCTTAGTGCCTCCTACAACACTGCTCAGATTTTCTGCACAGCCTAGTGTTGGGGATAGAGCATGAGCAGTGGCCGTTAGAATCTTCTTCCCCAGGTTTTATCTGATCATGATGACAATAATGATGATGAAGAAGAATTGCTTGCATCCTGGCACCTTGGGAAAGGTATGCTCCCCCAAAGCATCTCTAAATTGAGACACTGAGAAAACAGAGCTGGGTCTTTGGATAAGCCAGGCAGGAGCAGTGTGTGTGTGTGTGTGTGTGTGTGTGTGTGTGTGTGTGTGTGTGCGCTCAGCTGCCAGGGCTCAGGTAGAGCAGCGTTGTTTAAAAACCAGTTTGAAGTACCTTTCTGGGGAACGCAGGACTGCAGCCACCCTGGGAATTTATGCTTTGAGATGACATCATTTGAAAAGGGATGCCTCTTCTCTTCTCCCCTTGGTTCAGAGATGGTCAGATGGGCGCTCCACAGGCTGCAGACACCAAGCGTACCCCCGTCCTGTCCCCATTGAATCACACCCAGATGAAGCCTCATTCCAGCACTTTGGCATTGGGTTCCTGTTCTGTCTTCCTTTCTCGACTGGAACTCTTAAAGAATCCGAGCTGTGGGCATTGAAAGGAAACAACACCCCCCCTTCATTAGCCATAGGCAAGATAGAGTCTACTTTCCCTCCATATCCTGGCCTAGACCCCATCACTCTAACCCCTTCACTTTTTTGCTATCCTTCAAAGTCCCATTCACCTCTCTCATCTTCCAGGAAGCTTCCTGCTCATGATGTTAGTCCCTTTCAGATTCTCCTTCAGTTGAATGTACCAGTCGGTACTTAATTCTATCTTGGTTTATGTTTGCTATCTCTCAAATGATATTGTAAGCTGTTTGAGAGGAATTAATATCGATGCATTTCTTCCTTTCCTCTCTTCTTCCCTCTGCCCCCACCTCCTGTCACAGGAAACTCTGAATAAACAGTTGTTAATGTAGTAGAAAGAGCACTGGACTTGGAATTGGAAGACTAGGATTCTAGTCATAGACAGCTTGCTAGTCATGTGACTTTGATCAAGTCCCTTCATCTCGCTAAGACAGTTTCTTCATCTGCAAAATGAAGATTGTAATACACTGTCTAGTCTGACAGTGGTATTGTGAGGATCTAATGTGACAATATACGTGTAAGTGGAATATCAGAATTGTAAGGGATGATTATGGGTGAAGGAACTTCATTTAGGCAAGCAAGTTTAACTTTGGGGATTAGAAATGGTTTGGAGTGGTGGTGGAGGTAGTGCAGCAAAGGTGTGTGGGTTGGTGTGGGTATGGGTGGTAGTGAAGAAAGGAAAGGATCAGTAGTTGGAGGCAGGGCCAACCCTAAACACTGATAGAATTAAGGACATGTCTACATGGTATGATTTCAGGAGCCTAAAAAAAGGCCCCCTATCTCCCAAGCCACTGTTTCATTCATTGGCCTTGATACAGTAACTAAAATGTTCACCATTTCACAGTCTTTCTCACTACACTGGTTTAAAGCATTGAAGGCACAGTTAAAATTCAGATATTCCTTGGGAAGGAGGAACACATTAAGCCATTAACAATTTGGTATGAATTAATTTACTAGACGACCTTTCTCCCATCTCTCAGGCAGAACAGAGGTCTGCTGAGTTTTGATGTGGGGAAAGGTAGGAAGAGCAAACCACAGGAAGGAGGGGGTGAGTAGGCTATGACAGGGGTTACCTCAGGCAGCCTGGGTACAGTTCAAGAGCATTGTGAGACAGAGAGAAAGAGGGGGGGGGGGAGAGAGAGAGAGAGAGACAGACAGACAGACAGACAGACAGAGACAGAGAAATAGAAAATGAAAGGGCACTAAAGGAAAACTTGATCTACTTAAAACTTTCATTAGAGTCTGTTAAAGGAGGAGAGAATCTCTTAAGTTGACGTTAGTGCCCTTAATGTTAGTTGAATTGAATTTTAAAGATTCATATGAAGTTAAGATGTAAGAAACGTGGGATCTGGTCTCTGCTCTTATTCCAGCTTTGTGATTTTGGGCCCATCTCTTCTCTGTGTTCTCCTCTGTAGAATGAGGGGGTGGAACTTGATCTCCTTAAGGTTTCTTTCAGTTCTGATGCTCTATAGTTCTATCAAACTTAGAAGCATGTCTGATCTTCAACTCAAGAGCCTGGATAGTGGGCTGGAAGCAGCAGGTAAAGGTTTCATGGAGGAAAGATGGAGGGTCCAACCTCAGTCTCTTGGGGAGGAAGTACTCAAGAGGTCGGGAGTTTGTTTAGACCTTGGAGAGCTGATGAGGGTGAAATGCTCAGGCTCCCCAGCTCCCTATTCTCTTTTATCATTAGCCTGTGTCACCTCAATAGCTGCCTGTAGCCAAGGTCTCACCTTCCAGAGTGCGAGAACCAGCAGGGCAAGGAGCAAGAGGCCTCCCAATGTGCTTCCAATGATGATCCAGATTGGGATCTGGGAATCCTCTTGCTTAGAGATTTCGAAAATGATCTGAAAGGGACAACAGCCAAGAAACACCATTAATTGAATATTGCCCAAACAGTCTTGTTCATAGTTGGAGACACAGCTTCTGCTCTTGTGGAGCATGCAGTCTGATGGGGAGTGAGATCTGGTCCTTATCCTAACAGAAAATGCTAAAAAGACTGGCATGACCAGAGTCTAATTCTCTTCCTCCATTTGGCCCAACCAATAGGGAACCCAGTCTCTCAAGCCCTCAAGGATCAATACCTTCCAGAAGGAGGTTCTCTGTAGGTTGGCAAATCTATCTCTGGCTATCCATTACCTAAGACTCTTTTCTAGGCTGTACTTGTCAAATGGGAAGTATATGTGAATGTGTGTGTGTGTGTGTGTGTGTGTGTGTGTGTGTGTGTGTGTGTGTGTGTGTGAGGTTACTGAGAAAGCTGCCTTCAAATTGCTTTCTTATCCTTTGATTTTGGAGCTTTGAGGTCCAATGCCACCCGGTAAGATGGGGTCTGGAAAGGGGAGGCAGAAAGCAGAGAAGACAGACTTGGAGAGCTGGCTCTAAAGACCCCAATTCCAATTAACACTAGTAATTTTGGCTTTTAATTTTTATTGTAATGTCCATCCTCACTATCCTATTCAATGTTTATCTGTACCTCTCCACTTGTCTGAATTCTACATACACCTCAAAGCCCAGTTAAGTCCTCCCTTCTCCATTAAGTCATCTGCCACCATCCTCATCATCTTCAGAGGTGGTGATGTCTACCACCTCTGAACTCGTGGCACTCATGACAGATCGGTATAGTAGACAGAGCCCTGGAGTCGGAGTCTGCTGCTTACTAGCAGAACTAGGATTGCTTTGGGCAACTCATTTAACCTCTTTGTCTCTCAGTTTCCTCATCAGTAGATTGAGGGAGTTAGACCACATGACTTTTGAGATCCCTTTCAGTTCTAAATGCGGATTCCTTTGCTATGTGTACCACTAATATACTTAAAAAGTTTTCATACACTGTTCTTATACTTATATTTTGCCATCCCAACTAGACTGGGATTGAGGTAGGGGCCTTATCTTATACATCTTTGTATGCTTTATTGTGTATAGTACAAGAATAGGTCCTTACGAGTGAATATTGAAAACTAAAAATAAATAAATTTATATTTAAAAAAAAAAAGAATAGGTCCTTGCTAATTTTGGTTGATTTTCTGAAAGACAAAGTATCCAAAAAGCCTTACACTCCCTCGGGAGAAAGGGAGAGGATCACTAAATACGTGAAGATGATTGAAAAAGTCTGTTCCCCTACTTCCCTGTTAAAAAAAACCCCCAAAACCCAACTAAACTGTGGGTGGTGAGAAGAGCCGCTGAGTTGAGTTTCTGAGCCTTGCTTCTTAAGTAAAGCCAGGAGAGGGCAGCAGAACTACATGGTCCTCAAGTGGCCAGATTCTGGAGGCAGCCCCTTCCCTTGGTTTCTGTCTTCTTTTTTAGGTGGCCCGGGTACCAGAGGCTTGAGGGTGGGGTTCAGCAGATAGGACAGATTTCTTTTCCATCCCTTTGTGTCATCATCATCATCATCATCATCATCATCATCATCATCATCATCATCATCATCAAATCCCCTTATGTAAGTGCTTGGCCAGAGCTTTGTACTTTGCCCAAAGCAAAATGATTCAGAGTATCAGATCCCCCCCTTTAAAACAGCAACTTCCTGTAAACATTCCATATCAAATGATCGACCTTCCAATAACTTCTAAGCAACATATGATATGCATTCATATGGATTTAAGTTTTCATTTTATAGGGTGAGGAACAGGGAGATGAGCTAATGACTTTTTACTGGACATTCTGAATGGAGTTTCTTATTTCACCAACTAATAGAAAACTGATTATACAGACAGACCCAGAAAAATAGAGAAGAGAAATAATAAAATAGTTTATAGATTGCTTTAAGGTTTGCAAAACCTGTAATGCATTGTTAAATTTGCTTTAAAGAGATTACCCTGCCTTGCTGGCCTTTCCAGGGGAGTGGGAGTGGGGATGGGGAAGAGTAGAGTAGTCCTGACCTCTTGGGCCCTTGGCCCTTGTGGTCTTGCCTTCTGGGATGGAGTAAGGCCAGCCTGGGTTTGGAGGTGGAGTCTAGAGTGGACCAGGGCCACCTCTCAGGCTCAGAGCTCCCAGATCTTGTCTTGCCACCCCTCTATCCCAGCGAGTCCCTCCCTACTCCTTCCTCCCCCACAAGCTCACCTGCCGGCTGGGATCTTCTTCCCGGAAGATGAAAGGGCTCTGGAACTGACGCTGCAGTGCCGCATTGACTTTGATTTTCAAAGACTTGAATTTGAGCTGCCCAGAGACAGGGATGTTGTTGTCTGGCATTGGACAGAGAGGCTTCAACCCCCAACCCGCCTCTGTGTCCCAGGAGGCCACATAAGGATCCCCCCCAATATAATGGCTACTTCTCTGTTCCTCTCCTTCAAAAACAAAGGCACATGTTTTGATGCAAGACACTTTTCAGTACACCCTCACACGAGGTATATTATTGGAAAACAGTGCCACCTAGTAGAATAACTGGGACTAGTTACACATGGTGTTTGCCTTTGTAGCTGACTGATGATAAGAGAAGGGATGTGTACTTTGCCATAGGTCCTTTGGTGCCGTCTAGCTTGACCTGAGTTTTGGTGCCCATTAGTGTTTTCTTTATTGATGTTGTTGGAATTGTGTCTGTTGTTCTTTGAGTTTTGCCTTCTTCATTCTCCCCTCCTCTCCTTTCACCAGATGGGTCACCAGTGGTTCCCAGCCATGTCTGCCTTTGCTGGAGTCAACACCTTTCTCAGTTGCCCCAGATGAAGGGCTGTCAGGTTGGTTTACTACAGTGTCCAGGACAGTGTTGGCATAGAACGGGTGCTTAATGTTTGCCAATTTGATCCAAATACTGGGTGCAAATCAGCAATGGAAACTTGATTTCTTTAGTGTCGCTAAGGGAGAGAATGACAGATCTGGGACCATAGACTGAGATTGGGAAGGGACCTTCAGGGTCACCTAGGCCAACCCTTTTATTTCACATGTTGCTCAGCAGATGCTGCTGTGCAATGACTGTTACAAACAGATAAAAAAAGGCTTAAGGTCCTGGGAGAGATCAAGTCACCACTTCTACAAGTATACTCAGGGAGTACTCAGGTCCTATGACTCCTAGTTCAGTGTTCTTTCCAGGGCACTGATTGATCTGGTGTGACCTTGAGTGAGTCTTTTCTGGGACCCACTTTTTCCACGATTAAATGTTGTCTAAAGACCTTGCCTGCTTTTAGCATTCTATGATTTATGTATCAGGGATGTTATGCCCCAAGTCAATAATTAAACTTGTTACCTTTTCTTGGGGTGAAGTGTGACAAGGAAATCCATAGCTCTTGTCTTCACTCCACATTTTTGCCAACTCTCTCTTTGGCCACCTATCATTCACTAGGGCCCTTCCCCAGCTCTCCTACCCCCAACCCACTTCCATCTGATTTTGAGGTCTTTAGCTCTTACCCTGAATTCAACACATACGGCATTTATTTTTCAACTAGGAGAACTTGGTGGTATTAGGTAGACTACAGTGGGTAGGAGCTTATCCACTGAATGAGGATGGTCAGGGATTGAAGAGAATCCATTGGGGTCCAGGGATAAGGAGAACATATCTAAGGCCAGCCAGACTTCAATGACATACACCACTTTAGTGGATAATCCAGAGTAATGGATAAGGTAGAAAAGATTTCCGTTAGTTCTGAAGGCATTCTGTAATTATCTAGGTAGCATATCTATCTAGCTGCCTAATTATATTCTGCCAATCTTACCTGTTTCATGAAACTTTGTTTTACTATCCCAGTTTACAACAAGCCCTTCTCTGTCTGACCTCCTATAGCATTTCCTTTCTGAACCACCTGCTCGGCACTTAACATTGCTTTGTGCTGGCTTCTGTACTGATATTTCATTTTATTGTATTTATATCTTGTTGGCCTTGTTAGAAGATAAGTTGCTTAGCACAGAGATTGGGTTGTTTGCATATCCTACAATACAGTGTTGACTACATGTTGATTGTTCAATTAAGTTGTCATTGAGTGGGAGGAAGGAGGAAGAATTGGTGAAGGGGATAGATTGGAGGAGGCTGGTTTGCCATGAAATACTGGCTAAGAATAACCCACAAATTGGAAAACCAATCCGTGGAGGACCTAAAGAGGGGCTCTATTCTTTGGAAATTGAGAGGGATCGAATCCTCTTGTGGGTTCTGCATTCTTTAGCTGAATTAGGAGAGCCCAAGGATGGGGAGTAAGTCAGACAGGGACTTGACCACTTACTGCTTTGAGGGATTTCAGCCATAGATTCCCCAGCAGGTGGAAACTCATTTCTTGGTTGGTGGCCAGCTTCACGTTGCATTGGATTGAAACCACATCTGAATTGCTATGGTTCTGAAAAAAGATGGACCCAAGGGAGGCAAGTTTAATTGAATTCCACAAATGTTTATTAAGAGCCTACTCTGTTCAAGGCCTAGATATGGTCACTCTCTCTCAGACTAGACCTACAATCCTCCAGCCACTAATATTGAATGATCCCTTATTTAGAACCAAAAGACTGTCTAGCTCAGTTCTCTATTGTAGATTGGTAGAAATGACTAGCTCAGTTATTAAAATTAAGGACTCTTCCTGCATCTGAAAACCCCAGAGTCAGGCTCGATGGAATCTATCTCAGGGCATGAGACCTGAATCAGGACATCAGACCATGGAGATTCTGGAGCTTATGATCTCTCTGTCTCATAAATCAGGCTGGCCTTACATATGGGTGGATGCTTTTGTGGTAAAGTTTGAAGGCCCCTGTAGGACTGTGCTGGAGGAGGAGTCTACTTTATTCTTGGATTTCAGATGGACAAGACTGGTAGTATTTGGCATAGTGGAATAATAGCCAACATTTACATAACACTTTAACATTTGAAAACTTTTACCTGTATTATTTCATCCCACAGAAGTGGTTTGAGGTAGGTCTTATTATTATTCTCAGTTTACAGAGAAAGAAACTAAGGCACAGAGATGCTAAGCAACTCAAAATAGTTACACAGATCTGTTATTTAAGCCAGGGTCATAATTCACTGTGTCCTTGCTGCCTTAAAGAAGGAACAAAGTACTTGAGTTGGGAAACCTATTTTATAACTTTGGTGGTAGTCCTAATTTGCAGTACCTTTATACATAGTAGATACTTAATAAATATATGTGTGTTGAATTAAATTCTCTTTCTATGCCTCAGTTTCCCTACCTAGAAAATAAACTAATGATATATTTCCTATCTACCTTATGAATATTACAAAGGTCAGAAGTCCCTTTGCACATGTGAGATATATATATATATATAATATATATATATATATATATATGTATGTATATCATATATCTGTATATCTGTCTATCTACACATATATGTGTATGTGTATTTTTTTTTACCCTTTCCAGAATACCGGAACATCTGCCCTCCTTTCCTTTTGTCTCTTACCCATGCTAAATCCAACCTAAATCCAACTACTACCACAAATCTTACCCTGACTTCACTGGCCCACAGTGCTCTCTCCTTATTTATTGTGTGTATTCCTCGTAGGGTGGAGACCTACTAGGCATTTAATTACTACTTATTGACTATGGGAAAAACAGCTTTTAAGCTCAGGAAACAGAGCTCTTGAGTCTACTACATTCCAACCCTCTTTCCATGGGAGAGTCTCTACCAGCTGTGGTGAGTGACTCAGGTCCTCCTCAGTGGGAGCTTGTTGGTAGTCAGTATTGTTCCCCCAGATGTTGCATGTTGAATTCTCCTACACAGACACATAAAAACAGACACACATGTGGTCTTACAACCAGGCTCATCAGACAGTGTTCTTCCCTTGATGAATGAAGAAGTACTTTCACCCTGTGAAATAACCCAGGAAAAGACCCATACGTTGGCACTCCAGAGTGGGGGGGGAAAGGAAGCAGCAAGGGCTTACTCCTTGGGCAAGGTTCTTGCTGGCTCAGGGAAAGGCATTATGCCCACCTTAGACTATCAGGGAGGGTGCCTGGCAGATCATTACCTGATTCACAAAGAAGTCACTCAGCATCAGGAGGCGGTTCCCTCCTCTGGTGGCAATGGGGATCGTGATTTTAATTGTGACCCCTTCTACTGGGAAAAATCCCAAGTTTAGGATCTATGAAAAAAGAGGGAAGAGGTATTAGCATAGTAGCCACTGGGGCAGGGGATTGTGGGGAGCCCTGGGGAACAGTGAGGGGTTAGTCTAATGAGGGAGCATTACAGGACCATGATGTCTAGAGACTGAGACGTGCTCCTTAATTTCTGCTGTTTCCCCTTCCATTGAATAAACAAGTTGTACAGCTAATAACAATGACATTATTGTACAACATGGGATAACTGTGTTATAGCCCATCTATGTATTTTCTATAATTTCATTGGTTTAGAGAGGTCCTAGTGAGAAACTTTCTTTGCTGATGAAGATCTACTTCTTCACTTAAGAGTCTGAAAGAGTTCCCTAGGGGCACTGAGAAATTAAGTGACTTGCCTAGGGTCACACAGTCAGTATGTATTGTAGATAAGACTTGGACCCAGGTCTTCCTGATTCTGAATAGTCTACCTACTGTGTTATGCTGCCTCTTAAACACAGCGACAACCACCATTACAATCATAGTAATTAGATTTTTTTGAGGCCTCTACAGCTGGGCTCCTTTACTTGTCTACTCTTACCTCACACCTCTTCCCAGCCAGAGAGGTTTCCCTTCTTAGAACTCTGGGAGAAATTATACAGTGAAAAAAGCCCCCAGCGTATAGGCCCAGACTTGAGTTCTTTCCCTTCCCCCATATGACCTTGGATAAGTCATTTCCTTTGTGACTTTCCTTATCTGCAAAATGAGAGTATTAGATCAGATAACTTTTTAGGTCCCATCCAGCCCCAAATCTACAATCTTATGAACCCCAATCGCACTTAGAGTCAGCATCATACAAATTTAACTTTTAATGCCTGGAATTGTTTTGGGTATGTTGAACTCCCTGCCCCCTAGTTATATTGAATAACTTGAAGACTTGAGGCTCATCAGTAGGGGCATGACTCTATCATTTATTAGCTGTGCCATTTTGGAAATTCATATTGTTTCTCTGAGTGTCAGTTTCTTTATCTGTAAAATGAGAATAATAATAATACACTACTTATCTTACAGGGCTCTTGTAAGGCTGAAATGAAATAATGCATGAGAAAACACTTTGTAAACTGAAGGGCTAGATAGGGACTAGCCTTGTGATTTCATTGGAATGGGTAACACTCAGATGGGGAGACTCTCTTTCCCAAGGGAAGTCAGTACTTTCTCTGAAAATCAGGGTTTAGTTCAGTGTGTTGCCTAGAGCAAGCTGAGAGATTTAAGTGACTTGTCCTGTGTCACACAGCCAATATTCCATCCAAGGCAGCACTTGAACTCGTGTCTTCTTGGCTTCCAGGCCAGCTCTGTATCCACTATTGCTTTTCAATGGGCTACATGAGCATCAGCTATTATTATTCTCCTTCACTTGTATTTCATCTTTCCAAAGGCCCCTGGCACAGGGTTGGGCACCCAGTAGGTGTGCAACCAAGGCTTTTAAACCACCTGATGGATAAAATCATAACAGAATGATATATAAAGCCAGTCAAGAGATCGGATTGATTTGGCTGATTGCTTAAACTGTTAAAGCAGCTGTTCTTCCCAAGGGAGCTTACAGAAACCAAGCAAAAGATGGAAACGAGGATATGTCTCCAAGCACAACGCACATGGGGAAACTGAGGGACATCAAAGTCAAGCTAGTTACTTTCTCTGCTGTTGGAGGATTTTTTAAAATACAGCAGGGTTTGCAGCTGGGTGTGGAGGGACAACAATATTGTGTTTTGGTGACATTGCAGAAGTATGGACGTGTGTCTTGGGGGCCATGCTTGTAGACATATCATATCACCCTGAGATTCCGATCTTGTTTTTTGAGGCAGCATAGCTTAGTGGGTGATGAAGTGCTGAACTCGGAACCTTGAAGAATTGAATTTAAATCTTGACTCAGTACTTGGGAGCCATGTAATCCTGTGTGAGTGACCTCAGAATCTTTCTGAGTCTTATTTTCCTCACTTGAAAAATGGAAATACAATACCTGTAATCTCTTAGAGCTCAAATGAGATAATGCCTATAATATGCTTGGCCAACTTAATTTTTTTATTTTTTTGTTTTTAGTATAGTTTTATTTATTTCATTAAATATTTCCAGATGCCATGTAAAAAAATTGTTAAAAATTTCTGGTTCCAAATTCTCTCCCTCTCTGGCACTGCTCCCCCCTCTTTTAAGTAGGCAGTGCTTTGCCAACTTTAAAGGGCTATGCAAATGTCAGTACTTATCACTGTTATCAATAGGTTACTGGTATCTTAGGGCCTAGAACAGGGTTGGGGAACCTGTGGCCTTGAGGCCACATGTGGCCCTGTAGGTCCTCAAGTGAGGCCCTTTGACTAATCCAAACTTCACAAAATAAATTTGGGGATTTGTTCTGTGAAGTTTGGACTCAGTCGAAGGGCTGCACTTGAGGACCTAGAGGGCCACATGTGGCCTTGAGGCTGCAGGTTCCCTACCCTAGAATGAAGGGACTAGACTAAATGTGTGACCTTAGCCAAGTGATGCCTCCATCTGGATCATCCAAATACATCATTAGGCATTATTTTGGTATAGTACTTTGTATTTTTTTCCAAAGTACTTTCACAAATATTTTTTCCTCACACCAAGCATTTGCAATTGGCAGGACAGTAATACATCTTTCTATTCTGGGGGAATTGAGGTCCACGGAGGTAGTGTGAACCTGTACAAAGTCACACATTTGCTGAGACAGGACCAGAACATTAATTTACCGAATCCCAGGCCAGTGGTCTTACCACTGTACTGGGACAGCATTAGCTTAGACCCCAGATATCCCTTCCAGAGGTAGGGCCCCAGCTTCACATCCTTCACCTTCTTCCCTGCTTCTGTCTAGTCTTACCGTAAATGTGCATTGGAAAGGAGGGCCAATGCTGTTGTAACCCTCCAAGGAGCTGTTGGACTTGACCTCATAGCGGCTCAGGCTGGAACTTCTATAGGGAAGTTGGACAGAATTGTTAGTCAGAATGGGTCAGGGCAGGCTATCCTGTGAGAGAGAAGGAGGGAGGGAGGGAGATCTATCTATCTATCTATCTATCTATCTATCTATCTATCTATCTATCTATCTATCTGTGTATGTGTGTGTGTGTATATATATATATATATATATATATAGAGAGAGAGAGACAGACAGACAGACAGAGACAGACAGACAGACGCGCACACACACACACACACACACACACACACACACACACAGACCGAGACTGAGAGATATATAGATAAACAGTCAGACCTCCGTTGGGGTGCCTTAAGTATATCATATCTATTTCTACCCTGTTGCAGAGGTCTGGGACCTCAGGCAGGTACCTAGCTAGGACTTCTCCAAAAGGTATTGGGAACTGAGGACAAGGGTCTGGGAGTGGGAGAAAAAGAAACCTGAGTCCTTGGATACTTTGGAGCCAGGCTCATCATCTGCTAATTGTATTTATTTGAATGTTGCTTTGTTAAGTGTTGTTAAATATTTTTTTCTATTGTATGTGACCCATTTTCCCAATCAGACTTTGTTGTCCGAGGATGGGCACATTATCTTCTTCATTAGGCTGAGCTCTTAGGAGAAGGGACTCTATTGCTACCATCAAATTAGATGATCCACAAAGATGAGGACCGTGTCCTCTCTTTTCTCCACAAATCCCCATGGTGTAAACTCCATGTTCCAGTACCTGCCTAGGCACACGGACTTGGGGTTTCTAACTTCTTGTTTTCCTATTAGGATGCCCTATGCCCTTCAGCTTTATTTTCTTCTGCCACTTTATCGCATTAGAGGTATCTGGGTCTCTTTTAGGCTGTGACACTACTGTGAGCTGCTGGCATGATGCTCCCCTCTTGGACCTGAGGGAGTCTCAGGGAGGATGATTTCATACCTGGTGAAAAGGATGTCAGCTTCATATTTAAGGTGGAAATTGAGGAGAGCTGAGTTATCTTTTTTGGTGCTTTCCTGCTCTTCACTGTCACTGAAATCAGAAGACAGAAAACCACGGTCAGGAGTTCACGCCCTCTCCATGTGGAGAGCCAGTCTGAGCATTGAGCTCACCTAGGGTTGTGGGAGGGATTCAGGTCAGACAAAAATAAGAACTTCTTGGTATCCAGAGCTGCCACATACTTAAGCTGGGTTGTAAGGGAGATTGAGTAATCTCTTCTTTGGTGGGCTGGTTTGGTTCTTTTGGGAAGATGGGGAACAGACTGGATCAATATTTCTCACACTTTTCAGGCTGTGACATGTCCATGAACCTGAGGGGGCACCCTGTTGGGGGGATGTCACCTTGCTCTTCCTCTACTTCTTGTAACAGTCACCTTTCCAAGCTCAGGTCCCTCCCTCAACCACATCCTATGTGTGCAACCACACAAATGGAGGCAGCACAGTGTAATAAAAAAATCACTGGATGAGGAATGAAGACATTTGGGTTCTAGATCTGGTTCTGTCCCTAACTTTCTGTGTGATTTTAGACAGGTTCCTGTACTTCTCTGACATCATTAGTAAAGTACTTAAAGCTTTGCCTTTCTTGAAGGATTGCTGTATCAGTGAATGAATGAATGAATGAAAAAGCATTTGCTGAGCACTTGCTACATGCCAAGCACTATACTTATTAAGTGCTGGAGAATCAAATAAAATAATATATGTACATGAAAGGACTTTTAAAAAATGCATCAATTGCTATATAAATGTGAGTTGTTATCACATACATATACTTAAGTGCTTCAAAAGACCCATAATGTATCTTTATGGAAGCTTCCTTCAAAACTCTTCCACAGGGGGCAGCTAGATGGCGCAGTGGATAGAGCACCGGCCCTGAAGTCAGGAGGATTGAGTTCAAATGCGGCCTCAGACCAAACACTTGACACTTACTAGCTGTGTGACCCTGGGCAAGTCACTTAACCCCAATTGCCTAAAAAAAAACCAACAACAGCAACAACCAAGCCCAAACTCCTCCACAGATCAGTAGATGGTTTCATGAGTTGCTGTGGTTAAAAAACAAAACAGAAAACTCATGGCTTGGGAGGCTAGCTTTCCAGTGACAAGTCTCTGAACTTTGCTAAACTGGTCCTCAGATGATAAGTTCGTCAATGGCTTGCTCAAAGCCACTCTGGCTAAGTAGGACATGTTGGGCACTGGCCCTCTGCTGGCATATCCTTTCAGAGTTCAGGGTTACTTCTGTGCCGGGAAGAGGCATCCAAAAAGGATTGCAGTGATGGATCATCTCCGTAGCTTAAGAACAAACAGCAGGTCCTGTCACCAGCAGAGGAAAAAACCTAGGAAATCCTTGAATCAGCATTATAATTGTATTTCTATTTTGAGAGCAACTCACTCATTAGCTTCCTTTTAGGGGTCGGTACCTGAGAACTTCGCTAAACTTCTGTGAAATTCAAAAATAGTTGTGCGAATTCAATTACGTAGTTTAATTTCTCTTGGGAATTAATAAAGGTAAGCATTCTCTTTTCCCAAAACGTTCCCCCCACAAAAAACCAAAACCCAACACCAACTGACCGATCAAGCAAAGCAAACAAACCTCAAACTAACAGGATTAGCCAGGACAGCCCAAGTGCAGAGGTGGCTATTTAATTTCATTAATGAACTGGCTAAGTTTTCTTCTTTACTGTCGGCTTTCCTCTGTGTTTGGTCCATAACTCAGACATATACACAGAGGCAAAATTCATTTTAAGACTGCATTTCTCTTCATAAAGGAACTTAACTGTTTTGCTTCCTTTTTCTCCAGCAATGATCAGGAATGCTTTAAATCATATATAAAACATTCATAACTTAGCCTCAGGGTCAAGTAGAAATTCCATGTAATAATTAATTTGTCTTAACTACAGACATGAACTCAACATGCTGTTATGTAGCTCTTCAACCTTTGACACCAAATCTGTATGGAGTGTTTTGTTTTTATTTCGCAAATCAAATTACAGATTGGTGGGAAAGTCTGTCGGAAGATCATGAAGACTTCTTAATTGTCTCTATCACAGAGGGACTTCTTCCCTCCTTTAAGAGGGGTAGGGGGCTATACTATTTGACCTAATACATAGAAAGCACTTCGTAAACCTTAGAACACTGTATAAATTTTGGCTAATTTATTACTTAAGAGAGATTCATGGTCTCTGCAACTAGGTAGCTACTCTGGGAAAGGTCAGGCAGGAAAACAAGTGCACACACACACACACACACACACACAGAGGCACACTCACATGCATGCTATATACATGTCTTTACATCGATAGGGAATGGAAGGGCCCTTCCCTCATGTGGTATAATTTCGGTGGCACTCCTGCTCAGAAATATCTCCCCCACCTGTCTGATGCCTCTAGGGAATTGACGAAGGATGAGACATCTGGAATCAAGGGGAAGTGATCCCGGAGGAAGGGACACGGCTATTGAAACTCATTGATACCTAGAAATAAATGATCCTATTCCAATGCAAGTTTTGTTACAGGGAAGGGAAGAAAGAGGAAGATGACCCTGGGATTGTAATGAGGGGTGGAATGGAGACAGTGGAGAATGGGGTGTTGAAGCATTGGGGAGGGCAGAAAGGGTCAACTGAACTTCACAATTTTGCCTTGGGCCAGCCCTGTGTGTGGGTGTGGGTCTGGGTGTGTCCACGTATGGGCACACCTCTTACCACCTCCCCCAAATTGTTGTATGCCTGTTAGCATTGTGGACATGCCTCAGGTCAGATTACAGCCTCCAAAACCACTCTGCCCAGGAAAGCTGGATACAGCACCATTAGCACAAAACACACACATGCACACACACACACACGCACACACACACACACACACACACACACACACACACACACACACACCCCTTCCCCACTGACATCAATCAGCTTTATGTTAGGTTCCTACTGCTACAATAAGAAAATACTAATAGGATATGCAGCAGAAAAGCTTGTTCTTTCCCTCAGTTATGTGTTAGTGGATTTTTTTGAATTTCATTGACGGATAACATGAGGCCTTGTGGTTCAAAACTCAACTCTTTTAGGCAAGTCTTGTTTTTGGCTTAGCCTAGCACAGTCCCATAATATCTATTACTCAATGCTGTTTTTTCAGAGGTGTCCTGGAGGCAGCTTGAACTAGCTCCCAAGAAATGGACCGATAACTTCATTGTGAGCATTTACACCTTGGAAACCAGCAAACCTACACATCAGGGCTTGATTTATTATTTTGTTGATTACTTGGCCTGTAGATTAAAGTGTGTCCACAGAGAGCTGGTTGTTAAATGTTTTCCAGAATACTATAGCCTTTTTGTATCATCATAGTATTTTTTGGGGGGTTTACATTGATGTCTGTCTTGCCTCCCCTAGCAGAAGGTCTAGTCTATGGGCTGGGAAAAAAACATGTCTGTTCTGTGCAGTATAGTGTAGTAGAAAGAGAGGGAGAGAGATCTAGGCTTATGTTCAGCTCTTCCATTTACTAATAGCATGGCCATCTAAAATCACTGAACTTCTCTGCGCCTGAGTGTCCTTATCTGGAAAATGAGGACAGTAGTGTCCATACTTCCTCCCCTGAAGAGTTTCTTTGAGGCAAGCACTCTGGAAGCAATGCATTGCTGTATTAGGAGTGTATGTCATGCCTACTACATGGAATATGGAGTGAAAGCAGGCAAATACATGAAGAGTGTTGGAGACCTGGAGTTAGCAGAAAGAGCTTAGGACAACCAGAGCATGGCCCTCTGACCTGCCAACTGTCAGGAGGATCTCCATATTCTGAAGAAAATCCGACTTGCTGAATTCAAAATCCAGGCGGAAAGCTCCCTGGAGAAAGAGGAAAAATACCAATCAGAGCAAGCCTGTTAGAAAACCGGGGATCCCTAAGGCCTTTGGCTTAGTATCTGGGGCACAGCAGAGCTGTGACTGCCGTGCTGCATCCTGTATCCCCAACTTTCCCTCACATAGGGGCTGAGTCTAACCCTTGTCCTGCTGTCCCAGCAGAGCATCTTAGCCGGCTGGGAATGTGCTGGACGAGGAGAGATAATGGGCTGAAACGTCAACAGGGTATTTGAAAGGCTGCCAGTATGGCTCTTAGGAGCCAAAGAAAACAGCTACTGAGAGGGGGGCCTTTCCTGACTGTTCCCCCTCCCCTTTTTTTTTCTTGTTTTTAAGAGCAAAGGGAAACAAGGAGAAAAATTGGCTTTGGAATGTCTTTCTGTGGGCTTCATGAGGTTTGGGATAGGGTAATGGTCATAGAATCATAGGATTTCAGAGCTAGAAAAACCTGAGAGATTATCTCCTCTACCTTGCCTCATTTTATAGAGGAGGCAACTGAAGCCCTTCAAGGTGAAGTCCCCTACAGATCGTAGAATGCAGATCTAGAAAGGACCTTAGAGGTGAGTTAGTCCAACCCTTTTCATTTTGGAGAGGAGGAAACTTAGGGCTTAACTTGCCCAAGGCCACACAGCTAGTAACTGTCTGAGGCTGGATTTGAACTCTTCTCAGTCTTCCTGACTCCAGTCTACCGCTCTCACTACTTATACCACCTAGCTGCCCCAGGCTTCAGAATACCTGGTGAGAATTCCACTCTATCTTCCTTCTAACCCTTTCCCCCCAACCCCCAACCCTAAGTAGCTGTTTTAGGATATTTTGAAGATAGGGGCTGCTGAGTTAGGTATTGTGACCCTGGCTCCCAGCTCCATTTTTCCAAATAGTTCCATTGAAAATTCCCTAGGCTCCCTATCCCTGATCCTATGACTGGGTGACAAATACTTTCTCCTCTACTAGCTTCTCTCCTATTGAACTTACCACCTCCTTTATCCCTCTTCTCCACTCCCAAATGCTCACAGCTCAGACAGCTATGATTTATTTCCCTCCTGGCACTGTTTTATAAGGCAGTATTATGAGTCCAAGATGTTGCCTTCCTCCTCCTTCCCCCTCTTTCTTACTCTATGCACAGCTCATTTATTTGGGATAATGAAATATTCTGTTCTACCCTGGGCCCACCCTGCTGCCTTCCCAGGAGGTGTCCATGGGGACCTGACAGTGTTAATAAGCCTCCCCAGGGGTCTTCCATGGGCAAGCATGCAGTTTGGGGAGGGGACTGGGAGACATAGGGGATGATTTAAGAATAATAGATTCCATACTATGTAGCCTATTAATTGGCCTTTTGGAATCTGGCTGATTTATTCCCAAGTCTTGCTGCCTTCACAGAATAATGTCAGCAAGGCCATAGATTAGAAAAGTGAATTTATTTCCTCTGGGCAAAGAAGGGTGGGACTTATTAGGGGGATTGAAGTTGAGGATGAACAGGGGGTTTCCCTCTGAGGATGAGGAGGCTTGTGTCTAAGGGGAGGTTGTCCCATTGCCGAGAGGCACAGAGTAGCAGTGGTCTGAGCACAAAATCCTCTGATCCATGTCCTTTCCTTTCCAAGGATGGGACTAGCCTTCTCTCTGTTGACTGTCTCCAGTATATCCAATATATATCTTGTTTGTACAAACTTATTTTCACATTGTCTCCTCCCCCGCCGCCTGTGTAAGACTGTGAATTCCTTAAGGGCAGGGACTGTCTTCTGCCTTTTTTAGTATTTCTAGAGCTTTGGGCAATGCCTGGCACATGGTAGGTGCTTTTGAACTTAGTGGCTGACTAGCTTTGTGAGGGCACCTCAGCCTGATAATTTGGTCGTTTGAAATGTCCTTATATGATCTAATGATAAGAAAAATATTCTAGTGACTTAAAAGCACCTCCTCCTCACCCATATCCTTGGCTGTCCACACTTCCCCCACCTCCTTGCCCCCTTTCGTCCCCTCTCCCCCTTCCCCCCCCAAGTTTTTTACCTTGGCTTTTGCTTTAAAAAATGGGTAGCTGACATTGCAGACTTTCTTGTTGATCCTTCTCTCCTCGTTTATGCACTCAATGCTGCCATCCGAGTCATCCTGTGGTGTATGGGGGTAGGAAATAATATAGGGAGAAAAGAATCAAACCCTGATCTAAGTCTTCTACTCTTTTCCCAGCCTGGGGCTGCATCCCTGAAGTGGTCCTGACATTCTGCCAAGCATGGCTGGTGGGGCTTGGAGGATGGGACATGGTAGAGAGTGTAGAAATCTAAGAGCGATGGAAGCCTGTGACCTCTGGGGAACTGGCAAGCCAAGTTGCTTGATTCTGTTTTGACCCAGATTGGGGCACGGTCCTCAAGGATGTGGGAGATCACCAATGGAGACATCTAGAGATACATAAAATGTGGTCCATGCAGGAGATAGCTTGAGGGTGTGAAGGCAGGTCGACAAGAAATGTTGGAGATGGGACGCACTTGTGACTGCCCAGGCTCTTATGTCCAAGGGAGACCAGCCAGCCTCCTTGTTCTTCCTCACCATGGCTTTCCTAGCATTTAGAACGCTTTCTCATCTTTAATCCAGAAGGATTAGAGGCAAAAGCCTAACCCATTTCCTTGCTTGTTCTTTGTAACTTCTGCGCTTAGTAGGGAAGGATGATAACATTTTGGACCAAGATGAGGTTTAGGGGTTTTCAGTTAGCCAGGTCCCTCCTTGAAAAGTGAGTTCATTTGCCTGAGGGCAAAGAAAGGTGGGACCTGTCAAGGAGGAGTTCATTAGGAAAGTGAATTCATTTCCCTCCTACTTGATAAATCCAAGTTAGTCAAATTTCTGGCAGGTGGTCTGAAGGCTGATGTTTGCTGATGACAAACCTCCTGGATTATCCTAAAGAAGCATTGGCTCTGTGTGTAATGCTTATCATCATGAGGAAGACTCATTAAGCATCTAGTATGTGTGGTGAAGCAAGAAGGAAGGGAAAAAGTATTTATTAAGTACCATTGCTAGGCACTTAACAGATGTCTCATCTACCCTCATTGCAACTCTGTGAGGCAGGTGCTGTCCCCATTTTATAGCTGAGAAAATTGAGGGAGACAGAGGTGATTTGCCCAGAGTCACACAGCTAGTAAGTGTCTGAGCGGGATTTGAACTCATGTCTTCCAAATTCCAAGCCCAGTACTCTATCGATAACTCTATTCAGCTGCCTCTGTAGGGAGAAGCCTGGCTAGGAATTCAAGAGTTCTGGGTTCTACTCCTGGTTCTGCCACTGACCTTGTGTGTGACCTTGGGCAAGTCACTTCATCTCCCTCTGCCTTAGTTTCCTCCTCTGTATTAAAATGAGGTGATAAACCCTGGCAGCCTATGATATTCAAAATGACACAGGATGAGCCCCCAAGAAGGTCTCATAGTCAACTAAAATATTTGCTGAGGTTCTGATTTGCCAGTTCCCCACACCTCCTCTTCTCCTTTCTGCTACCTCTTTCCAATCTCTCTCTTTGTGAAGGACCCATACTTTTTATATGGCTGGGGCTTGAAACCGACCTGTACCGGGGCTGGGATGAAGGTTGGGGGTGGGGAAAGAAGAGAAAGCATTCTGTGGTGTAGTGGATAGAGTGCCAGTCTTGGAGTCAAGAAGACCTGAGTTCAAATCACGTGACTCTTAGCCTCTGCCTGTCTCAGTTTCCTCATCTGTAAAATGGGGATAATGATAGCATCTATGTTCCAGGGCTGTTATGAAGATAAAATGAGATGGTATTTGGAAAGCACTTTGAAAACCTTAGAATGTTACATAAATGTTAGCAACAACAGTTGCCTTATCATCATGCTGGTTATGAAGTCGCTAGCTATGTGGTTGCGGACCTCAGCTCATTTTTGGGCTTTTCCCTACCAGTTCTTTAAAGCTGGAAATGAAAGAACTTTACCAAAAATAGCTTCAGTACAAAGGCAGACATGTTTGCTGGTCCCAAGTGGGCCTTCAATCTGTGACTTTTGAGCACTTGGGGATTTAATTGCACTTCTTGGTGCATAACCTGATTTTTAGATCATTTTCACATGATATGCGTTCTGCCTTACCCCATTACACCAGAGGTCCCTGAGGGTGGGGCCTTAGTCTGCCTAGTAGACTGGAAGCTCTAAGGCTGGGGACTTTGTCTTTCCATCAGACTAGAAGCTCCCAGAGGCCAGAGTAGTGTCTCCCAGGGTCTAGTGGGCCTAGATCTCAAGCTGCGGGGGTGGGGCAGGCAGAGAGATGATGGGGTGTGTGACTAGTGCACCCCAACCTGCTGTCAAAAGGAAGCCACAGTGAGTCAAATGTGTATTTCCTTGTTACAACCGTGAATCAGGGGTGTGCTGGAGCTGGGCCAAACCAGCCAGCTGATAGTTAAAGTTTCACCATGAGCATTTATTCCTTAGAAATCACTAAATGCTACAAATCAGAGTTTTATTGTTTGTTGATTGGACCTAAGCAAGTGATGAAGAAAATTGTTAACAATCCAGGTTGAACTTTAAAAGTGTGTTGTGTGCATGTTTTTCTTTTTGAGAGCTGGTTATTAAATATTTGCCAGCATAGCCCTTCCCTGAACCCTGTGGACTCCTGGATGACTTCTGGTTTCATGACTTCTTACTTCTGGCTTCTACCCTGATTCTTTTGTTGTCATTCTTTCTGTATCAGGCTCCCCTCCTTCCATGACTTTAGATCCGCAGTTGCCAACACAATTTATATACTATTTATATTTACATTTCTCCCCATCCCACGCACACACACACACCATCTGGGGGCTAGGATTACGGCAGCTGTCTAATTACTTGCTGTCCTCCCAATGCACGGGGAAGGGATTTGACACCTACCAGACTGAGGTCAGAGACTTTGTCCCCCAGCAGACTATGAGCTCTCATGATCCTTGAATTCCCATCACCACCACTAGGCAAGAAGTCAAGTAACAAAGGCCAGGAGCAGCCAGATCTGGGTTTTGTTGGTGGTGTTTTAGTAACATCCAAATTCAGCCAGGTGATAGTTAATGGCTGTTTGCAGTAGGAGGAAAGGAAGTGGAATACCACCAGTAGAGGCAAAGACAAAGCACTGAGGTAAAGTCAAAGCCAGGTGTTGTACTCAAACCTATCAGACTGATGGAAATGGTAAAGGATAGAGGGGCTGTGGGAAAACAGGTACATGAGTACCTGTTGGTGGGGCTGTGAATTGGTTTAGCCATTCTGGAAAGCAGTTTGGAATTATGCACAGAAAGTCACCAAACTGTTCCTACTCTTTGACTCAGCTACACCACTATTAGGCCTATACCCCAAAGAAATAAAATAAAGTGGGAAAGAATCTATTACCTATACACAAAAATGTTTATATCCCCTCTTTTTGCACTAGCCCCCCCCAATGGAAACTAAAGGGGTATTCCCTCCTTTTAGAGAATAGCTAAGCAGATTGTGGCTTCTGATTGTAATGGAGTGTTATTGTGCCATAAGAAATGATGAAATGGACGGCTTTAGAAGAAGCTGGAAGGCCTGTATCACAAAGCAGAATAAAGTGATCAGATTTAGAGCAGTTTGTACAATGATGATAACATTATGAAGAAATCAACTTTTTGTTTTTGGCTAGGCAATAGGGTTAAGTGACTTGCCCAGGGTCACAATAGCTAGTAAGTGTTATGTGTCTGAGGTCCGGATTTGAACTCAGGTCCTCCTGAATCCAGGGCCAGTGCTTTATCCACTACGCCACGAGAAATCAACTTTGAAAATCTTCAGAGCTCTAATCAACACAACAGTGATAAACCATGAGTTGAGAAGAATGATGGTGAAACATGCCTCTTACCTCCTAATAGAGAGGTGATAAACTTAAAATGCAGAAAGAGAAATATAGTCCTGGATGTGGCTAATGTGGGAACTTATTTTGCCAGATTATATAGATACGTATTGAGGGATTTGTTTTTCAGGTTAATTTTTTTTTTTGTTTACTATGAGGGAGATATTGAGGGATTAATTTTTCAAGTTAATTTTTTTGTTGTTCAGTGTGGGAGAGGGGTAGCAGGAGGGACAGATTAATAAACAGAACTTGTTACTTGAAAATAAAAATAACAAACTATTATTTAAAAAACCCCCCCAACATCCTGGGAGTTGTAAAAGACAGAGCCAAGCCAGAGGAACAGCTGGAATAGGGATGCCAGCAATGCAAAAATGGCAGCAGGCCGCCAGGAGAGGACCGGAGAAAAAAAAGCTGTAGGTTCAATGGTACACATGGAAATACACGTATGCAAACATGTATGATATAGGCTAATGTTAAAGTTGTGTCAAAAAAATTAAGGTTTTACCCAACATGATGCTTGCCTTTTATTGCTGAGATCCTCAGCTCTTGTTTGCTAAATCAGCCATCATATGTCTTGTTCCTGGATGCTCCATAGACTGAACTAGAAGGGATCTTAGAGGTTATGGATTAGAAAACGGGCCCAGAGAGGCTAAGGGACTTGCCTAAATTCACTCAGGGAGTGAGTGGAAAAGCTGGGATTCAAATCCCAATCCAGCTGTCTTTACTGGGCCCCATGACCCCTCTGGCATCCGTTCTAGGGACTGACTGCCTGACTCATGGGCTGCTGGGAGGAAGCAGCCTTCTGGGGGACCACCTTGTAGACGTTTCCAACCTTTCTAGGTGGTGCTCTCTGCCTTATCCAGGTACCCAGGACTGATGGGAATGGTGTAATGGCCTCTGAAACAATCTGGGGATGGACCTCTGACTCACAGACTGTTTCAGAAACAGAATACTGCATAGGGTATGTAGCCTGCCCTGATAATTTGGTGTTCTCTAGTAAGGGCTATGTGTATATGCAATAATAATAATAGATTGTATTTATACAATGCTTTATGATACACAGAGCATTTTACATATTGTTTGTGTGCATGCCTACATACATGCAACCATATGCAAGGTACACATGTATACAGGTGCATTTTGTGCTTACGTGTATATACATATTCACATGCATGCACATGTGACATGAAGAATAACATTAAAGTTGTATCCAATGGGGTTCTTTTTCATTAGAAGTCCCCTTATTCCTGGGGGAATAATAGCTTAGCTGTGAAAATCCTACTTAAACTAAAACTCAGTCCCCTCAATCTCCCCACCCTTGGGGCCCCAACCTGAGAATCAAGATCTGATCTCTTAAATGTGCTGCTGAGGAAAACCCCAGCCCCTACAAACGGCCTGCTCTGTGCCTGGAGACATTGGCTGATCTGTATTACATGTTTCTCCCTTCTCTTTACCTTTGCTCAGTTCTAAAGGGTCTTTTGTGATGTAGACACAGAACTCTATGGGGGTCTCTTACCCCAGGAAAAACACTTCATTTTGTTTTGAACAGCAGCCAGGAAAGTCTGGGGTGGGGAGGGCATGGGAAGGTAATCTCTCTTAATACCTGAACCTCAAACAATTCCAAAATCCTCAGGTGGGCAGGGAACCTGAGAGGTCATTAAGTACCTCTCCCTCACCATGATTGCTTCTTACTTTTGCATGCTTGTATTTTAGGGTTGGTGTCTTGCCTAGGGAGAGACTTTCTTAATCCTGATACACTAGGTTGCCAAGGGCTTAAGAGGAAAGAACACAGTAGTCTGGCTGTAGCCACTGAGGCCAGTCCCTATTCAAGGAGTACCTTAAAGTCTGGGGCTAAAAACAGGGGGTCTACTGAGGGAACAGAAAGAAGAAAGGCCGCAAAGCCTGGCTCTCGCTCTGTGGTCTCACTCTGCCACGTGTTGGTGACAGACAATGGAATAACAGCTGCTTCATTGGTTATAGGGTTTTTTTTGGGGGAGAACCCCCAATTCTTCCCCAAGAGTGGTAGGTGTAGGCCTTGGGGTTAAATGAAGGGGACCCTAAACCATTATGGGCCCTTTCTGGGGGACTGAAGAAAATATCAGTGCTTAACACTGCCTAGCTGGCTTCCAAGGAGGTATTCAGACTCTTGGCTATTTCTCCATGCTGTCTCTTAATGAGATACATATGATAATGTATATCACAAAATGAGATAATATATAAAGTGCTTTGCAATACTTAAGTACCATATAAATACCATTATATGCTATTTATTAGTATTATAGTATATGGTTATATTATGTTATTGTTATTATTATTATTTACATTGCTATATACCTAGGGTGAGCGTGAGGCCCTGTAAACCCTGCATCTTGCCCCAGGGTGGGCACTTGACTCTCTTGCTTTCTGCAGTTTCCCAGGTTTCAGGAGGAGGTCAAAGCCTTACCTTCTGAATCAAGCTTGCAAACTGCAGGTTTTTTGAGTAGGAAATGTTCAGAACTGTGTTATAAGCATTCTCTCCCCTGTTCTCCAGTGTAGCCTCCACTGCCACACGCCGCCGGGTGCTCTCTATGATGAAAATGGATGTATCAAAGGACAGGGTGTAGGAAGAGCACTCTGGCTGGGTCTTTCTCAGGATTCTGTTGCAATACTCCCTGCAAGAAAACCAGAGTTTCAGGGTGCTGGGTAGAGGATGAAGTGTGGGTGGGTGGGAGGCATGATAGCTCAGAAAATAACAGAGGAGGGAGTCTGAAGGGATTAGTAGTGGTGGTGGGCTGTGAGGGAGTCTCTCTTGGTGACTAGTAAGTCTGCCTAGTGGAAAGGCACATATGTGGCTCTTCCCTCTTAGTCATCATCGTGGGAGGAGTGCTACAGCTCTATTGGAGGCATTCCATTCTTCCTGTCCTGCCATGAGCCGCTGGGTGAGAGTATTTCCTTGATTGTTAAGGGAAGGGAGAGAGAGAGAAGAAAGAAGTAGAGGAAAAAGAAGAGGTAGAGCTCATACTTCAAGGTCCAGCTTATGGCCACCTCCTTCATGGTCTTCTCTAGGTACTTCAGTGACTTTTCCCTTCCCTGTATTTAGTGTCCATACCATGCACTAGACACAAATACCACCTTGCATTATTATTTGCCTTATTGGCAGAAGGGGCTTCTGGGAAGTATAGTGTTCACAGTTGAAAGGAGAAACTGAAGGACTGTGAGAGGTGAGAACCATAAGGGACATAGTGCCCTCCTATGGAGCTCCCACAACTGACAAGTCTTCTGTCTCTCCTCCCAACTAGGAAAACTATACTTCCCAGCAATCCCCATTGTCAATATAGCATCACAACTGTTTCATCTCTTCAGCTAGATAGCTATGTGACCTATCTCAGAAACTTACAAGCTATGTGACTAGTCAAGTGACTTCCCTCTTCTGAGCCTCAGTTTTCTTATCCCTAAAATAAGTGGGTTGGACTCAATTTCTAAGACCTCTTTCAGCGAGAAAGCTATGGTCCTATGACTGGGCATGCAGTACACATTCAATAATGGCTTGTTGAAAAAAAATGAATGAATGAAAGAATGAAGAGATGGAGGAAGAAGATGATGATGAGGGGCAAGTCTGGGGGATACAGAGGTCCACCTACCAGGAAGAAGAGACAGGTCCCCTAAGCTGCTGGCAGAAATTGTGAAAGCAGCAGGAAGCCCCAGTCTGGTGATCTACTCACATGGCGGTGGGAATGTCACTCTGGGCATCTAGGACCAAGTCAGGCACACAGTGTTCATCCTCATTGCATCCATTCCAGAAGGGTACCTGGATCAGGGGAAGAGCATGACATGGGTAGGGGAACAGTGGAGCAGCTCCCCTAGTCCATAACTTATACTTCATTCATTTAATTTCCTTACGCGGTCTTCAGGTCCCTTCACCAATTCCAGTCCTTACCCTTGACACACATATATTCTCTTCACAATTAACTGATTCCTCTCTCAGTACTACTCGACGTGTTTTCTGCTAATTTGTTCCTTGTTTCCTAGGTACCGTTTGCTTTTTCCTACCTTTATGCCTTTGCCCAGACTTTTGCTCAAAGGAGCTTTCTTATCTCCTTCAAAACAAGGCTCAAAGTGTAACTTCTTTAAGAACCTAAATTTTGAGCTCCTATAGCTCAGTCCACTTTACTCTGTACTCAGATGGCATTAAAGTAACAACAACAACAATAATAATGTAATCATTTACTTTAGTCGTTCACAATAAAGTAATCGTATAATAAAGTAATCATTTGCTTTAAATCATTCACATCTAGGATTCACTTACTGTGCCACTATTTGGAATACAGATGAGGAAGAGCCTAAGAGGCCAAAGGGATGTGACAAAGTTTATGCTCTGGGCTTTGGAGGTGGTGGTGGGGGCACTCCATTAATATCTGTATAGACTACTTTGGAAGTAGCTCTTCAGGCCTTCATTCAGAGCCTTTTCACTCTTAATTTATACAAAATTATAATCAGGGCTAGAAATCAGATTGCCAAGTCCACAATAGAATAGAGGCAGCATCTCAGAAGGGAGGGAGAAACTTCTAGAGGGTAGCCATAGTAACAGCAATACTAATTGATATCTGATAGCATGGGAAATAGACAAAAAACTATTAAAATCAAGGCACAAAGTATAGCTATCTGGAGCCACTTAGCAGAAGGGCAAACAGCCCAACACACCTTAATGGTCCCTGAAGATATAGATGTTCTTAATGATGACCCTGGGTTATCGTGACAGGTTTAAATTCTTTTCAGAATATTTTGTTTGAGAGGATAGACACGTTATATCATGAGAGATGATAGATTTGTACAGAGTGATGACATCTGAATGAAATGATACAAAGTAAAGAGCCAAGGAAACATATATATACACAATAATTATAGGGATGTAAGTAGAAATAATAGCAACCAAAAGAAATGGAAATGAGTACTCTGTGATTATAATTAACAAGGTTCCTGAAGAAGAGAGGGGACCATGCACCTCCCTTCCTTCTTTGTTTATTTATTTTTTTTTGGTGAGGCAATTGGGGTTAAGTGACTTGCCTAGGGTCACACAGCTGGTGAGTTCTCCTTTCCTTCTTTGTAGGGTTTGGGGGCTATGGGTGTGAAAGACCACACATACTGTCATTCTTGGTTAACATATTGGCTAGTTTTGATAAACTGCCCTTGAAAAAAATTCTTTGTTACAAGAGATGACTCTCTGGGGAGTAGAATGAAGAGATGTATTTGCAAATAAAGGTGATTTAAAACCAAAATAAATAAAAATTTTAAAAAGAAAATAGTAAAACATATAACATATATGTGTATATATGTATGACTATATATGTATATATGTATGTAATACATTTTAGAAAGATTTCGATGCAGACTTTGGTGCATTTTCAATTATCTGGAAAATTGATATATAATTGTTTATAATTCAGTTAATTAGGTATTGCTGCATGGACTATTGAAAACTACTGTGTTGCTTGGCAGATGTGTCTTTGCTTCTTTTCCTGTGTGAAAATTCCATCCCTTAGCTAGGCTTTGTTCTTTTGACCAATAGCACCAATTTGACTGATCCATCCTGGCTGGCCTCTCACAGGTGAGTCTTTGCCTTTACCTTTGTCTTGCCTGCTTCCAGGACTCCGTCTCTCTTAGTCACCATCTCCAAACCATACTCTAGAATTTTGCCCGGAGTTTCAGTTAAGCTCACTGGCCTTCATTTCCTTCCTAGCTGTGCTTCTGGACCACCATGCCTCAGTTACCTGTCCTCTCTCTAGAACATCCCTCAACATCTGGGGTCTTCTTATCCTGGGTAGAGATGTGCCAGAGTCAGCTTGAACCAGCTAGGGTCAATTGTTAAAATTTCACTGTGAGTGTTTACATATTGGAAATTAGTAAATGTTACAAATCAAGGTTGAGTTATTATTTTGTTGATTTTCTAGAGTAGATTTTTCCAGAATAACGCACATTTTAAAAAGTATATCATATATACTTTTTTCCCCTCTGGAGAGCTGATTGTTAAATATTTACCAGCACATCACTATTCGTGGGCTTCCATTTTGGGGATAGGCCCACATTAACCAAACTTCATTTCTCTCCTGGCTATGCCTCTGATTCTCCTGGAATTCAACATTATGAATTCTCATCCTGGAACTTCCCTGTACCATAATGGCCTCCCTCTCCCACTGAATCTGGGGTTTTCTCACTTTGCGTGTCCCCTTCGTCCATTGTTGATTTTTTTCCAGGCCCTCTACTTTGGTGACAGGCCCAGGCCAGCCGTGCCTCATCCCCCTCTAGGCTATGTGTCTGACTTTCCTGGGCTTCACCACCATGCCTTCATTCCTCATTGCTTTCTCACCCCCTTTTATATTTTGTTTTCTCCTGTTTGAATGTAAGCTCCTAGAGGGCAAAAACTATTTTTATTTTTTATTATATTGATAACCCTAGTGCTTAGCATAGCGTCTAGCACAAAGTAAGCACTTCATCATAGTTTGGTGGCTGCCTGCCTGTAGTAGGATCCACACACAGTAGGTGCTCAAAAATTATTCAAGATGCACTGGCCTCACTGCCTCATTTCTATTCTCTCTGGGAGGAGTTTTTGGGGGCCTCAGTATTTTGAGGGTTTCTGGGCTAGCTGGCTACAGGGAGAGAAGTAACCTGAGAGTCAGAGAATGAAAGAAAAAGATTATAGGGAATACTGATAAAAGAGTATAATCTTTGCACATTAGGAAGCTAGGGAAAACGTGTGTGCTGAAGTCTTGGGGATTTCATCAATCAATAAGCAGGAGGCCTGGGTTCTAGTCCCAGCCTGGCTACTAACTCCTTCTATAAATTTGAGGAAATTTCTTATGTTCTCTGGACCTTAGTTCCTTAATTAGTAGAGTGAAGTGTTGGACTAGATGACCTCCAAGTTCCATCAGGAACATTCTATAACCCATATGTTGATTTGAGATCCTATTGTGTGTCCCCCATCATCCATGCTATGGATGATGCTGAAGAAGACCTGGTCCTTTGTCCCAAGGAACTTCCAAGAGTCTGCCTGCCAGACCAGGTTGCAGGTAGGTTGCAAGAGAGTCAGGGTAGGTCAGAGGAAGGGAGAAGGTAGTACTGTTGGAGTACATTATTTGGGCAATTTTTCTGGAGAGGAAGAAGATGATGGAGTGGTCCACAGTGTATTAATTCTCTGCACTGCAAATGCTCTGGCCTTGGATCTTTGCTGAATGGGCAGAAAGAAGGACCATTTATCTTACTCCCACATCCTGCTGGCTATGACTTACTGAGACTCTGAGTGTAGTAGGCCAACCATCATCCAGGATGGGCCCATTGTCAGGATCACCCAAGGCAAACTCGACTGAGAACGTCACTGGCTTCACGTAGTCTGCTGTGTCCTGTGGAGGAGGCAGGGGTGAGAAAGCAAATGGTCACATAAGAGATGCCATCTAGGGTCACTGACAACTGAGGTCTAGATTATTTTGAAAAAGGCTGGGGAGGGAAAATACTACAGCACTGAGAGGAAAGAAGAGAGAGGAGGAAAGAGAAGAAGAGAGAGGAAGGGAGAAAGAGAAAGACAGAGACGGAGAGATACACAGAGAGATTCACAGAGAGAAACAGAAACAGAATGAATAATGTTACTGAGTCAGTTTGCTAAGAAAAGGCATGTCTAGGAGGTTAGAAGCCTAAAAGTCTGTATATGCACAGAGAGAAGGGGATTGAAGCATGGTCAGAATAAGGCTGAGCCTTTGCATCAAGCCAGAGAGACTTTGCTGGGTTTTGGGTTCTAACACACTCCCACGCAGTTTAGGGCCATGATATATGTGAGAGGCTGATCAGATGCTGTATATTTGAGTGGCAAAGTTCTGAACTCTCAATGGGGCCCCTAGGAGAGAAGAGCCCTCCAGGGTATAGGAGTGGGGACTGGATATTGAGGAAGGACACAAATAGCCCCAGACATCTGGTCAGTATGAGCAATATAAATAATATGACTGCCAGTGAGTTTGAATGACAGAGATTTGTCATTAACATCAGTTCCCTTGGGGATCTTAGAATCATTTCGATGAGTAGTGTCAAACATAAATAGAAACTGATCCTTGCAGGCCACAGATTAACTTAGAAAAAACCAAATCTTCATTATCTGTGTGGTATTGTATTCTTGTTTATTTTATGAAACATTTCCCAATTACATTTTGATCTGGTTCCTGCCTAATTTGAGAATTTTCAGCTGGTGGTCTTTGAGTTTAACATCTGTGATTTAGACCATTCCAATCCCCAAAGAGATTCTATTAAAATGTAATTGGGAAATATTGAACAAGATAAATAAAAATACAGTGGAGCATAGATAATGTTAATATGTGGTTTTCTAAGTCAATATGCATCTGCAGGGATCCTTATGTACAGTTGGCTGTTTTTATTTGAATTTGACACCAGTCTAAAAGAACAAGAGGGAGGTGATAGAGCCACCCTGCTTCAATCAGATTAGATGTGGAGCGTTGTATCTAGTTTGGAGCACCACATTTTAGGATCACAGGCATTTCAGGAAGGTGAATTATGACCAGAGGACAGGGACTAGAGAATATACCAAAGATATGTATGTGTGTGTGTGTATGTGTGTAAGAGGGTTGGGATAGTTATCTTTAAGTATCTGAAAAGTGTCATCCATGAGAGGGACTATACATTCTGCTTGACTGTAATGGGGAGAACCAGGAGCAGTGCGTGGAAGTTGGGGGGAGGAAGAAGAAGAACATGGATTTCAACTAAAAATCGGAGCTGTCCAAAAGCGCAGTGAGGTGGCTCGGGAGGTTTTCAAACCAAGAGTGTACGACCAGTTTTTGGCAATATTGTAAAAGGGATTTTTGGTTGACTGTGGGATGGGAAGGGATGTTCATTTGGTCTTTTATGATTCTGAGACACTGAGAATGCTTCAAGAGAATGTAACCTCCTTGAGGGTAGGGACTGTTTTTTGTTTTTGTTTCTGTCTTTATGTCCCCAGCACCTAGCACTGTGACTGGCGTCTAGTAGGAACTTCATTAAATAGGTATTGAATTGAAACTAAAATTATGGGTTGAGCTAGAATTAGTGGGGAGGGGTCCACAAATTTTAGATATGTGTATATATACATATGCAAACAAACATGTATACATATGCACATATACATATATAGTATAACTATTTCAATATATTTGGTTTCCTTTGCATTCCTATGTATTTTATGCATTTAAAAGCATTCTGAGAAAGGGTCCTAGGGGTACAGGACACAAAAATGGTTAAGAAGCCTTGGGCTAGATGGTTTCAGAGGACCCTTCTAGCTCGACGACCTATGAAGATGTGCTCTTGAATAGATCCAAGCTATACTGGCTGAACTCACCCACCTCAAGAAAGAGATGCCTGCCGTGGCCCCAGGGCAGGTCACATTCACTACATCAGTGCTTTGGAACAAACTGACCTAAGCCCCAGTGTCAGGCTTACCAGAACGTGGAAGTTGATGCGGTCACAGTATTCATGGCCAGCAGAGAGCAAAGCTGTCCTGTGTGTGTATTTGTCTGCATTCTCATCCAGGTGGGCTCGTGGTGTGTACCGCCGCTCATCAATAGTGGCATTGTACTTGATGCCTGGAGAAAGTGGGGGTGCACAAAGTAGTAAGAAGGCAGAACCACATTCAGATGCCAAGTGGATTGTTTCTCCTCATTTAAGCAGCTCTTAAAAATCACACTTCCTCAGTGAAGCCTTTTCAGGCTTGTTGGAGAAGAACGGACACTTCTCTCTCACTCTAGTCTGAATAAGGAGTGCTCATAAAGATGGGAAGGGATTGAGAATAGAATAAAGGAAAAAAGAAGGATGGAAGTCCTGTAGCGGGAGCATGGGAAGAAGAAAGAGGGAAAGGTGAAGAGGAATAGAGGGAGGAAAAAGTGAGAAGAGAACAGGAAAGAAAGAAGGGGAGAAAGAGAAAAGGAGAGAGATAGGAAGGAATGAAAGGGAAGAAAGAAGCTTGTAAGGAAGAAGACTGCCATGGTAACCTTTTACAATCTAGTTTCTTTTTTTTTTTTAATGCATTATGTCTCTAATTTGGAAAGGCTACCACCAAAAGGTTCAGGATATGGCCTAATGATCTTAAAATTTAACTGAACCAAAGACTATAGCATGTCTTTCTCAATTATATTTTTCCTATTAAAAAAATGAGACTTCACTAGAATAGGTATACATCAACAATTACTATTCACTAGTTACTATATTTAAAAGGCTACTCAGAATTTAGAGCAAAAATTAAAAAAATGCAAACACCTAGGTACAAATAAGTGCCTTATTCACTAATTTTTAATTATTTTTAATCACTGCTTAGTCTAACATTGGTTGTTACTCCAGGCTTCAGTGGTCACAAACCTTCCTTATTCATTTTGAACTTTTATTGGCTTGTTCAGGTCTTATCTGAGATACTGGGATCCATGGGCAAGTTTGAGCCAAAAACCTTTGCAAAAAAAAAAAAGCAGTTTCCATTTACATCAAGCGCTATTTCTCTTCTCATCTCATCTACCCATCTCTGTCATTAGATTCAGGTAATACTGGAATCTGCTTGATTCAAGTGGATCAAAGCCAGGTCAAAGGAGAATTACAGGAGAATCACACTAATTTGTATTTTTTGACAGCTATTTAGTGCTGCAGATAGAATGCTGGGCTTGGAATCAGGAAGGTACCCGTGTATACTCACCTTCAGACACTTATTAGCTGTGTGACCTTAGGCAAGTCACTTGACCTCTATTTGCCTTAGTTTCCTCTTCTATAAGATGGGGTTAATAATAATACATACCTTCCAGGAATGTTGTGAGGATCAAATGAGATAATAATTGTAAAGCACTTAGCAAAATGCATAGCAATAGTAGGTACTACATAAAATTATTATTATTATTATTATTATTATTATTATTATTATTATTATTATTATTATTATTACTACTACCACTATCTTCATTTGCTTGACTCCTGGATGCAGGAACCCTGTTCACCTTGACCACAGAGGCCTAACAACTCTCCCTTTTTTACATATCTCCTGTTTCCTAAAGCTCTGAGAGCTATCAACCTCCTGACTTTAGCCTGGTCCTCATCTACCTATCCTGACTTGACCCAATTTCTTCACCCCATAGGATCTTTAGCTCTTAGTCCATCACCTGCCCAGTTACTGTTACTGCCCAGTATTTGTGATCTTTCTCCCCAGGATGTGCAAAAACCACTAGTTTCTGAAAGGGCTTGGAATTAGGAAAAACACAAAACAAAACACTAGTCTGTGGGAGGGTGTAACTTCCATAACATGTTTAAACAGAATACAGCACAATTTTTTCAATAGAAATAGAAGGGGAAAAGAGGGGTCTGAGGAGGAAAGGGAGAAAGTGAAGGAGGAGAGAGGTGCTCACCTACAGTTGCACTTTGGAAATGAGGGGACAGGAAGATGGGCAGGAAGCAGAGGAATGCCACCATGCAGGTTGAATCCTTGCCATTCCGCTTGCAGTCCTTGTGGAAGATGTTGATCTTGGATGGCTCGAAGTGGATGCTGGCATTGATCTGAACCACACTCCGGGACCTGGAGAGAAGGAGTAGGGAAGAAAGCGCTATAGCCCCCTGGTCAAGTTCGTGGGGCTGCTCTGGTGAGAAAGAGGCACCAAGTGAGAAAGAGGAGATAGAGTTAGGAGGGAACAGAGATTATGTTGAGGTTTGGATGTCTCCCCAGATCCTGAAGGAGTGGGCCTGGGAATGCATCAGGCAACTAACTCACGGTCACGACAACAATTTTTCTATGATCTACCTGTAGATTATGAGGTCGTATGATCATAGAGTTAGAAGGATCTTCAGAGGTCATATAGTCCAACTCCCTCATTTTATTGATGAGGAAACTGAGACCCAGAGAGGTTAAGCAACTTTTCAAGGTCATTCCAGTGACCAGCCGAGGATTCAGATTCAGGATATCTAATTTCAAGACCCACATTCTTTCCAATTCACCATACTGCCTACAGATATGTGTGTGTGTGTGTGTGTGTGTGTATGTATGAGAGAGGGTGCTGAACACAAGACAAACTGCTTACTATGCATGAAGAAGACTTGTACCTATCATATTTGAGGGTACCTCAAGATAATTGGTTTCTTATATTCAAATTTTTTTCTGCATATCTTTTTTCCTACTAGATTATAAATCCCCTGAGAATGTGAATATGCCTTTTTAAATCTTGGTGTCTTTCTTAGAATTTGGCATAGCATCTTATGCATTAATAATATTAATTAATTGATATTAATATCACCAGTAAAATTAATAATATCAATCAATAATAATATCAATATGCAGGATGCTATGGCGCTTAATACATATTTTTTAAATGAATGCGTGTCAGCTGCTAGCCCCTTCCTCCCTGTTCCCCCCTCCCCCATATCCAAGCCCTAAAGAATCTTCAGATGAAGCCAGAAGCCCCCAAAAGTGGGGATGACACACCATAAGATCACAGCACCACCAAGGGATCCCACTGCCAAGTCAATGAGTCCATCTTCATTGAGGTCCAGCTGCCCATGGACACTACAGCCAAAATACTGGAGACCTGGGGCCAGCTCTGAGGATGCAATTCTCTGTAAGGTGAAAAAGAGAAAGCTGGGCTCATCCACCTCCAGGTGCAGGGAAATTGGGAGGGCTGGAGCTGGGGAAATCTCTAGGTATACTTGGAAGAGGGAGCTGCCTATATGATGTGATTTGAAGCTGCTGGGAAGATCCCCTCACCTCCCAAGCTCAAGGATATCTTTCTCCAACGCTTCATGGGGTGCTGGAAATTTCCACCATTAATATAATTGTTTTGGGTTAAAGCAGGGCCTCTTAATCTTGAGGTCCACTCACTGCCTGACCCCTCCACCCCCCAGAAGTCCATGCACTGATTTCATGGGGGCCTTTAAATTTGGATGGGGCGAAAATACATCTATATTTCAAGACAATCAGTTTCCTTTATAAGCTTCTGTATTTTATTTTATTCATTTAAAAACATTATTCTGAAAAGGGTGGATAGTTTTACCAGACTGCCTAAAGGGACCATGACTCAAAAAAGGTTATCAACTTCTGAGTTGAGGCAGTGTTTTCAGAAGGTCTTTTGTTAAAGTGATAATTCATTGCCTAGATAGGGAAACACGTAATCCCTTGTCCTTATTAACATGAATTAGCTCCTCAGATTAGCTTGTCACCACCAAAGAACATAATTCTAGGGAGATGGAATACAGGTCAGTTCTGATGTAGAGGAAAAGGTAGGGAAAGGTACTATCCAGGAGGCCACAGTAGGCACAGGAGGTAACATGAGGGTACTGAGCATCTGGTAAGGTATTGTGGAATTAGGGAGAAAGAAGGGTACTAAAGGGGTAAAGGAATGCAAAGTTTGTCCGCTTCAGAATTTTAACTAGTCACTTGTGGCTAGAAGAAAATTGAGTCACTTGCTGTGTAAGTCATTGTCTATAAAGGCAATCCATGGACTGAGAATCTGAGTCCTAATGCATTCAGATGATGTGTGGTAAGCCTGTGACATTTGGGATATTCACCATATAGTCTCTTGGGTGCATCCTTTTCAGCAGTGATAACGGCCTCTTTTCATCCTAGGGCTCAGGATACTTTTTTTTTAATAGACTTTTTATTGATAACTTTGGTTTTTTCTTTATTTTCCAAATATATCCTTACTGCCCCTTTTCCTAGAAAGCTACTCATTGTAACAAAAAGTAGAAAAGAAAAAGCCTGCCAAAAAGCAGTTCAATAAAATTATCCAAACACCGAAGTGGAGTCTATGCGATCCACACCCATCATCTCTTGCCTCTGTAAGTAAAGGAGGGAAATGCATATTCTCCTCTCTTCTTCTGGGTAAACCTGATTATTGTCATCAAACAACATTTATTTTCTTTTTGTTGTTTGTTTTCAGTTTAAATTGTAGTCATTGTGTCTATTTTTTCCTTTAGTTCTGCTTACTTCATTTTGCATCAGTTCATATAAGTCTTCCCATGTTTCTCTGAATTGTTCATATTTATTGTTTCTTATGGCACAGTAATATCCCATGCCATTCACATACAACAGTTTGTTTAGCCATTATCTTGTCAATGGGCATCTATTGATCCCAGTTCTTTGCTAAAAAATGCTGCTATAAATATTTTGGTGCATGTGGAAGCATTCTTTCTGTCCTTTACCTCCTTAGGGTATATGTCTTATAGTGGGATCAAAGTGACAAAGGCATGGACATTTTAAGTATAATTCCAAATTGCTTTCCAGAAGAGTTGGAATAATTCACAACTCCACCAACAGTGCCTCTCCTCCGCCTCTCTAATGTTGATCATTACCATATTCCGTCACTTTTGACAATTTGGTGAGACACTATTTTTGTTTTTCTGCACATGACAAATATTATCAAACATGAGCATTTTCAGATACACAGAAGTACAGAAAAGTGGATTGCACATGATATTATGAATCTCTATTATATATAGCTTGCATTTCAAAATGACATAATAGATTTAAATAAATTTAGTTTTAAAGATGTCTGGTTGGCCTGCCTTCCTGAAGATAGACTCAAATAATTCTTGGGAAGGTTTTTCTACCCTAGTTCTACATTCAAGAGGACTTGGTATAATTAAAAAAAAATAAGCACCAATAATTCCTTTCATTTGTCCAAGGGGCAGCATAAGGTAATGGACAGGATATAGGCCTCAAAGTCAGGAAGATCTAGGTTCGAGTCCAGCTTGGCTGTATGACTCCAAGGTCATACGGCAAATCATTTAACTTCTCAGTGCTCTGGGTCAGTAATGTCAAAACGCAAATAGAAATAGGAGCTACTAATTGTTCATATTCATTATTCCAAAAAATCTCTGTGGGCTGCCTATTGACTCAGTTTTAAAATGAAATATTATCTATGTTTTATTGTATTTTTACTTATTTAAAAAATATTTCCTGATTACATTTTAACCTGGTTCCACTAGCACTTGGGAGTATTGTAGACCTCATTGGGAGCAGGCTGCATGTTTGATACCTCTACTCTAGGTAACCCTCTTTAAGACTGTAAGTTGCAAAGAAGGCGCTGACCTGCATTGTTCAAAGAATTCCCCATCCAGGGGTGGGGGAACCTGTGGCCCTCTAGGTCCTCAAGTGTAGCCCTTTGACTGATCCAAATTTCACAGAACAAATCCCCTTAATAAAAGGATTTGTTCTGTAAAATTTGGACTCAGTCAAAAGGCCATACCTGAGGACCTAGAAGGACACATGTGGCCTGGAGACCATGAATTCCCCACCATTGACTGTAATAAAAGGATTTGTTTTGTAAAACTTGGACTCAGTCAAAAGGCTGCACCCAAGGACCTAGAAGGCCACATGTGGCCTCGAGACCACAGGTTCCCCATCTTTGCCTTATACCAATGAAATCACAGATTTACTTCCTATCTCTTCATTTCTCTAGCTCTTTTAACTTTTCCAAAGTGCTATGAAAGGTATTGTCTCTTGTAAGATAGGCAGGAATTATTGCACCACTTCAGGGATCTGGGACTTCATTGGTGTGGCCACTCCCTTCACTAATGCAGATCACAATTCCTCTGTGCCTAGGTAAATTCTTCAAGAGTTGCAAAACAAACCAAACAAACAAAAAGAACAAACCCAAAACATCTGGTGGCCAGTCTTCCGGTGATGAGATTTTCTGAACTTAACCAGGCTGATTGGTTAACCATACATCTCTTTCTGAGCTTCTACTTAAGTCCTCTCCAGCTTGGTAGGATCTACCCATGATGCTGGGTACAGACTTCAAGAACCTAGGGTCACGTCTAGGCCTTGAGGAAGCATTGGAATAGAAGGGCAGGAAGGAGGGTATCTCTTATTCAGCCCTAGCCTCCCTTTTCAGCCTTTTGCTAGAATAATACTGGTTAGTGTGAAGTTTCCTTCTTCTTCCTACCCCATTCTGACTTCCCTGTCCTGAATTCCTCTAATTTAGAAAATACCTGGGGCAGCTAGGTGGTGCAGTGGATAGAGCATCGGCCCTGAAGTCAGGAGGACCTGAGTTCAAATCTGGCCTCAGACCAAACACTTGACACTTACTAGCTGTGTGACCCTGGGCAAGTCACTTAACCCCAATTGCCTAAAAAAGCAAAAAAAAAAAAAAAGAAAATACCTTCATTTTACAGGTCCTATAGAGAACAGGGAAGTTTCCCAGTGGTTTCACGCTGGCACTTTGTCCTAAATAATGTATAAGGGGAGCCCTAAGGATCTTTGGGTCTTTGACCTGAGCATGGGTACCCCACTGTGTGCTGCCCACAGGGGGCATGGAGGCTCCTCATGAGAATCCTCATGAGCAGCAGTTTTCTACCTTGCCTTGTGAGTAGCAATAAAGTTTGCTTAAGCTATCTCTATGTGGAATGATGCTTTTCATCTGGACTCCCTTACATTACAATATCCACTTTACTGATGAGGAAACTGAGGCCCAGAGAAGCAGAGGTGATTTGCTTATGGTCACATCCATGAGTTTGTGGTAAAGTGAGGAGTGGAACTCAGTCTCCAACTGAGTCCTGGGCTAAGATTTCCCTAAGCCAAGACAAGAGCATCTCTCTGTCTCATCTCTTTCTTTTTGTATTTCCACTAAAATAAAAAAGATACTAGGTGAAGTCCTCCTTGGTTAAAAATCTTAGGTTCATCTGAGGGCATAGGCAGCTAAGTAGCACGATGGAGATAAAGCACTGGGCTTGGAGTCAGGAAGACTTGAGTTCAAATCCTGGTGCAGACACTTATTAGCTGTGCAACCCTGGGCAAGACCTCTCTCAACCTCAATTTCCTCAACTGTTGTTATTGTTCAGTCATGTCTGACTGTTTGTGACCCCATTATGGGAGTTTTCTTGGTATAGGTACGGGAGTATTTTGCCATTTCCTTCTCCAGCTCATTTTACAGATGAGAAACTGAGGCAAATAGGGTGAAGTGACTTGCCCAGGGTCACACAGCTAGTAAGTGTCTGAGTCTGGATTTGATCTTATGTCTTCCTGATTCTAGGCCCAAAGTTCTATTCACTGAGCCACTTAACTGCCCTACTCATCTGTTAATGGGGGATAACAGTAGCACTTACTTCACTCATTAGGGTCAAATGAGATAATATGTAAAGCACATTGCAAATCATAAAGAGCTATATAAATGATATTATTATTATTATTATTATTATTATTATTATTATTATTATCATCATCATCCCCTTAGGAGTGTTTAACCTTTTTTGTGTCATGGACCCCTTTAATAGTCTGGTGAAACCTATGGACTGTTCTCAGAATAATACTTTTAAATGCATAAAATAAAACATAGGATTACAAAAAAACCAATTATCTTGAAATACTGATGTCAAAATATTTTTTAAAAGAGTTCACAGACCCTTGGTTAAAAACCTCTTATCTAATTCATGGATATTTCCAGTGGGTAATCATTCTTAGAGATATCCCAAGTGAAATTCAGCCTAGAACTGAGTATCCTTGCTCCATTATTCACCTCCATTAAACTATAATATTTGTTAGGAGATGCTTAATATTTAAATCCAGGCATACAAAAGAGCTACCTTCCTGCTTGAATGTAATAACAAGGAGAAAAAGAAGGTAGAGTCTGTTCATATTGTGGTAGGTGGACAAAAATCACTGAGGAATAGAATGGAATTTGCCCTCTGGCTAGCAGAAAATTTTGCTTGAGGCAAGCAGGCTGGTGAGTGCTGGTATTCCCTGCAAGCCTAGATTAGAGGTTGTTTGGGGCTCAGGAGAGATGTTGCTCAGGTCGGGGAAGTTTTACCTGCTTATACCTCTTCAGTATGTTGTTCTGGAAGCCATGAAAGATATAGATGACTCCCTGGTGGTCATTCTCCAGGGGAGCTCCCACCACGATGTCATTGTAAGAATCCTGGTTGAGATCTTGGACTGAGGAGATGGAAGAGCCGAACCGGGCATTTTGGTAACCGTGGGAATCTTTTAGTGTCCCATCATAAATAAATCGGTTCTACAGACAGAAAAGGGATAGGAGAAGGCCCATGGTGAACTGGCCAAGGAGCCCCACCATCATTATTTCCTACTATTGTTAAGGCAGACCTACTCTCAGGGAGGTAACCAGGGATGTGGGAGAGGGGAAACTAAGGAACTGCTTAGATGGAGCCCTTTAGGACATCCCTAGCACCACACCCACCTCTCCTGTCTGCACTGGAATAGCTAGATAGGGAGAAAATTCTTATGTAGCTCCTTTCTCTTTGTATAATAAGAACAACTCCACTGAAGAGGATTGGGGCCTGGGGAGATCTTGGAGAGACCCTGACACTTTCTGAGTGTACAATCTTCCTGCAAGGTGAGGTGCCGTAGTCTCGGACTATCGAGAAACACTATCACTCTGCTGAAGATTTAAAAATACGTTTGCAGGACACTGTCTGTAAATGATCTCAGTATTACAGTTTGCTGATGAACTCCATCTTCATCTCCCTTTCTCCTTATCTGCCTAATCCACCTATCTCCATAATGCCCTCTGTCTCATCTATCTATCATCTATCTATCTATCTATCTATCTATCTATCTATCTATATCTATCTATCTATCATCTATCTATCATCTATCTATCTATCTATCTATCTATCTATCATCTATCTATCTATCTATCTATCTATCTATCTATCTATCTATCTATCTATCTATCATCTATCTCTAATCGAATTGTTTCTCTGTATCTATCTGATTGTCTATCTCTACCCCTATATCTAGTCTCTCTGATTCTCTTTCTCTCTCTTTTCTATGTCTCTTTCTCATATCTCTATCCATCCATGCATCCATGCATCCATTTTTCTATTTCTATCTAGGTCCTCTCTCTTTTTGTCTGTCTATCTCTCAAAATAATTTATATTACAAGTTTGTGCCCACTCTTTAGTCTCTGGCAGCCCTACTTGGTACAATGGAAAAAGCATTAGCTCTGCACCCAAGAGGTTCAAATCCCATCTCTGATTCTTGTTAGCTGTGTGGCCATGGATGGGCAAGCTTTTTAATCCCTCTGGGCCTCAGTTTTCTCATCTGTAAAATGGGGAGGTTGTACTAGATGGCCTTGAGGTCCCTTCTGGGCTTGCACCTGTGGTCCCCTGAACAAACTTATATGGTATCTCATCACTTCCTGGACTTGTGTTCTGAGAAAGCTCGGGCTTCCCTTGAACCATTGCCATGTATGGGCTGAGTCATCTCCCAACCTGCTCTGCCATAGCACCTGAAATTCCTATTACTAATGAAATTTGCAGAAGAGGCAAGAAGTATAAAGGAAGGAATGTTGGATTTTGAGAGGGCAAGGCCTGGATTCAAATTCTGCCCCTGAAATTTAGTGACTGTATAACTGTGAGCAGGTCAACCTCACTAAGCCTCTGTTGCCTCATCTGAACGACGATGAAAATGGACTAGAAGGCCTATAAAGTTTCTTTCAGTTCTAAATCTATGATCCTAGAGTCTTATGAAATTCTCCTCCTATGGGTTAAGGCATTTTGTCTTTGGAAGGCCCCAGGAAATTACACATACGTTATCTGTAGAGGGAGAGCAGATTAACCCATGATGCGCCCTCATCCATTTATCTCATCCCAGAATCAATTTGTTTACCAGATTATCTAAAAGAGAGCTGAGCCCTGAGAGGTTGGGACAAAGAACAGATAAATTTTATTTGGGGATAGGGATAGAGAAGGAAAGGTCCAGAATCTGGGATGTTCTCTGGGGAGGGATGCCTGAGTAAGACAACTCAGTGAGGGACCCGAGGTAGGGGAGAGCATTGGGCACTTGTGGGAGGAGGGACATTGACACCTCTTGTCAGTTAGCCATTTGTCTGATCCAATCATCAACTTCCCTTCCTTGCCTGGGGATGTTCCTGGATATTGTCTTGTGACTGTAGGGGAGACAACTCTGGCTCCTGCCTCTCAGGTCCTGGCCCATCAAGGTGGGCATTAAGAGAAAGAATTGCTACTTCCATAGCTCAATCTTCTTTTGTAGGACATTGGAGAGCAGTGGGGGAAACTGAGGTCTGATGAAAAGGAATAATTAAATTGCCCTCATCAGATGGAGACTGGTTTGTTTCAAATTATGCATGCACCAGGGGCCTAGGTTTCCCAAGCAGAATGAGGTCTTGAATGTTCTCCCAGAGTTTGACTCATCACAGGGCACCCAGGGCAGCACTCTCTGGCATTACCTGTCTCAGAACATAGACGTACACTTTGCCCCGCTCTCGGCCCTCACTGAAGAACATCGGTGCGCCAACCAGTAGAATGTCTGTCACCCCGTCGCTGTCCACATCCAAAGAATTGATTTCACTTCCATAGTATGAGCCAATCTGCAGCACAGAGGGGTAGAGTACTTTGAGGGGTGAGCTTCACTGGCCTCCTATTGACTCCAAGATAGAATACAAACTCAGTTCTGTTTGCTATTTAACATCCTCCACAGTATGGCCTCTTTCCAGACTTAGTACGTATCACTCCCTGTCATAGTTTAGCCAAACTGGCTGACTTGCTATTCACTGCATATACCGTTGAATCCCCAACCTCTGTGTCTTTGCACAGGCTCTATCCCATAGTTGGAATGCTCTTTCACCTTACTTCTCTTCTTAATAACAGATGTGTTGGTTGTTGGCCTGTCCTCAGGACTGTAACTAACCTGGGGCTACTGGGGCTTTGCCCAGGATAGGGAACTTAAAGGGTGTAAAAATGAACATATATTTATGTTAAAATTTAACACAATATACCCTAGGCTATTTATTCCCTACCTCTCTCCCTCAGTCCCATAAAGAAACCCATAAATTAGCTCTGTCCCTTCCTGCTCCCTCCCCAAGAGCTTTCCCCTTCCCTCTTCCCCTTCCCTCTTCCTCTTCAAGTGATACTTCCTTCAAGCAAGAGTGCTACCTTCCCTCCCTCCCACATACTGTGTGGAGAGAGCCTCCCTGAAGCCTCTTGGTGGAGTAGAAAGATCAAGGGTCCCCAAAACCCAGTGGGTTAGACAGGTTCTTACCCTGACCTTCCATTCCTGAAGTCATTATAGTGGCTAATTCTCCCTCCTACTCTGTTAAATGTGTGTCAATTACTTGTGTTATTTCACATCATGAATTAAAAAGTAGATTTGAGGGTACATTCTTAGCTCTTTGCCCTAGTTGGTACCTCTTGCCTCAGGACGGTGGTCACCCAGTGCTTGGGCTTGGGACCTGCCAGAGCTTGGCATACTCTTTAAGAACCCAGAATCATTTCTATGCCATGATGAGATATTGGGATAGGACTTTGAGGAACTGTCTGTCTGTCTGCTATCTACCTACCTGTAGCTACCTATCAATAAATACTTGTTAACCCCCTTCTACGTTCTAGGGGTTGGGTGTACAAAGATGAGGAAGAAAACATCTGTCTATTAATCAGTAAACATTTTAAATGCTTACCGTGCGCCAGGAACTGGAGATAGACAAGGACTGAAACATCTGTCCACTTCTCTATAGATATACATATACCTATGTGTTACAGCTATGATATGTATGTGTATGCATATATACATATATATTTTCTTGTATCATTGTGTGTATATATTTCTACAGAGAGAGCTTGAGAGACATACAAACATTGGGAGACAGAAGAAGAGAAACGAACAGAGAAACAGGGAGGACACCCCTTTTCTAAACACGTGGATCCTGAAGCCCTCAGCTATGTAGGTCCTGTGGATTTGGAATCTATTTAATTTAGAAGCCCTCAGGACTGTGGTTTATCATTCGGATGTTGGAGTCAGAGCCCAGCAGGAAAAAATGTCATAAATTCATCAAATAGCTTCCCTTCTAACTTACTGGGTCTAGAAGCCAATTCCTGAAAAAACCAGCCAAAGTCTGGGCGTGGGCGTGTGGGAGTGAGACTGAGAATGTCGGTGGTGAGCAGCCGTCTGCCAGCTCAGCTGGACGACCAAGCAAGCAGGACGGGACTGGCTGATATGTGTGAGGGAGTTAGGTTAGACACGAGGGAGAACTGCCCTTTTTCATGCTGGGCTGTGGGCAGTGGTAGACGGTGCGAAAGGGTCAAGTGAACAGAGACAATAGGACTGTGAAATTGAGCTTAAGACTGCCCTAGACAGAAAACTTTTTATATTCTTCCTGCTATACAGGAGAGGCAGTATGGTCCAGTGGTTAGAGAGTTGGCCTCAGACGTTGTGACATTTGGTAAGTCACTTAAATTCTCAGTGTCCCAGGCAACTCCCAGACTTTAAAGTATGCATCACTTATTTAACTCTTAGGGAGATTGAGCGGGGGAAGCTATGGCACACATACTAAAGTTTGACTGGAGAATGATTTTTAGTGGTCAAGAGGGTGAAAACTTGGCACGCCTCTCAGAAAGGTTGTCGATCCTTGTTCTGGGATTTCTTTCAGGTCACTTTAAATGATAATTCGCTTTGTGATTCATGAAAGAGTGCTCAGGAAGGTACCATTCTAAATATCAAGCATTCTTTGGCTGCTACTCTGACGTTGTGTGACTTCATGCCAGCTGTGGTGTGGCTAGGGGAAGAGAGTCAAGGTTGCTAATATCCACACATTTTCTTAGCACTGGGTACAAATCCCCTCCTTGGCACAGATTGGCTTCTCTGGATTGGTAGAAAGACTTTTCCTCTCCAGGAGTTTCCCTATACCATTAAATAACAGGTCCAGGCAATAAATAAAAACAGCAGGAAACACCAGGGTGAGGTTAGCACAGGGCCTGACACCCTTAGCCAGTAGCTGCTGGAGTAGACTAACATGCTAGCCTGAGGAATGGTGTTGAGGAATTCGCTGTCTCAGATGTCTTGAGGGGTTTGGGGGGCAGATAGTCCTGCCCAGAAGCCAGGGAATGGATGAGAACTCCAAGAAGAACTCCAACTACCTGAAGTGGATTCATTCCATCTCTTCTCTTCCTCTCTCTTCCTTTACTCTCTTGCCACTCTCCCCCAATCCCATTCCCTTCCTGTCTCCCTCCTCCTCACCTCCATGCCTATAACTTCTCCTTCCTTACCTGTTCTCCTTTCAGAGACTGGTGGATTGTCAGGCTACGGTTGCTGTGCATCATGAAAAGGATGACTTTGCCTGTGTGGTTGAATCGGGGTGCTCCAGCCACATAGACCCTGCCCTGATCACGGGACACAGAAGTTACTGTGTAACCTGTTGGGGGAGAGGAGAAGGAAAGGATCTGAACACAGGTGGAAAGACTTCTGCTCCCCGACATAGCCTTGTCAGAACACCAGGCAGGCTAGTCCTTGGAATAATGGAAAGGAGGCAACACATTATAAAATGATAAAAGAAATCTCAGACAGTAGGGAGCAGGTAGGGGAGGGGCTTATGCATAAGGTTTGCTCTGACGTTGAGGAACATTATTTATAGTGTTAACCCTGGGGGTTGTTACATTCAGAAAGGGCTAACCCAAATAAAGGGTGAGATACTGGGATGACCCTATGGGTTACAGGTCTTTCTAGAGGCTTGGCGCTTTCTCTGATCCCAGGAGGCCAAGTATTCATTGGCTCAGGTTTTGCAAGCCCTTCCCTTGTTAGGAAAGAATGGGTCAATAGCGCAGTTCCTTGCACCCTCTACAGCCACCTGGTCTGTGGCTGTCAGATATGAGGGGACTGTCTACACCTGTGATGTCACTGGTATAGAGAACTTTCCTGGGAAGAAACTCCCTCTACCAACGCAGCCTGGAAACTGTTCTATGATCTCTCGTCTTGGAGGGTTGCCCAGGCTCACAAAGCCTGTGGGTGTCAGAGTTTAGACTTGAACTCAGGTCTTTCTGCCTCAAAGGTGACTCCATGCTGGCACCAGCTAGGATTATATGACAAAACTGGTGTCTGGACATCCTTAAGGCTTTGTAGTAATGGAGGAGAAGAGGACAATCCTACTGAGGTACTGTCCTCGGCTCACTCCTGGTGTGAGAATAGGGGTGCTTCTTAGTTCAGAGCTCTTAGGGAGCCCATGGTGGGGTTGGGGTGGCTGATGGAATCCAAGCCATCTCTGGGGCTCAGGATCCTGCACGAATGTAGGTGCCGGAGGGAGGCATACAAGTTAGGGGTTTGGGATAAAAGACAAGAAAATGAAGATTGGCAATTCCCTTTTTCTTTTTCTTTTTCTTTTTAAAATTTATTCAGTTTTAGTTTTTAACATTTACTTCACAAGATTTTGAGTTCCAAATTTTCACCCCATCTCGCCCCTCCCCCCACTCCAGGATGGCATGCATTCTGAATATCCCTTCCCCTAGTCTGCCCTCTCTTCTATCTCTCCCCTCCTTCTCTTATCCCCTTCCCCTTCTACTTTCCTGTAGGGCAGGATGGCAATCCCCTTTTTCAATCCAGGAATTCTTCAAAAGCTTTTGTGGAAGTCCATCATTAGGCAAGGGATTAGAGTCATGCATGGCATGATCTACTTCCTACCTACCAGCCAGTATGCTTTGACCTTCCTTTGCATCTGCTCCTCAGACCACTCAAAGTGGAGGGGGTGGGGCAGAGAAAACCCATCTTCCCATCTTCCTTATGCAGTTGAAACAGCACCCAGTTTTACTCACCACATTCCAACTAAGGGGAAAGTAATGGTCAATATCAGGTGAGCAAAATGACATGCTCATCTCACTTACTTCACCTCTGGGGAAAACTGGCTTATCTATCTGAGGGCAAGGTCTGGCAAGCTATGACATCTGTTCCTTGAAAGTATGTAAGTTGGAGAAGTAACCTCAGAACATAAAGCCCTCTTGTAATTCTTGGGTTTCCAAGTTGTTAAATCCCTGTCAGCCACAGATCAGACTTGACCGTTACCTGGTGGGCCCTCTAACCTTAAAAATTGGATCCTGTTTCCTGGCAGTGGCAGAAGGGGGCTACAGTAGTGTGGGTGGGGTGGGGCAGAGGTGATGGAGAACCCAACCTATATCTGCCTGAATGGAAATTGGAAGCAGTCCCTTGGTCTAGGTCCAGAGCTTTTTCCTCCTAAGCCTTCCATTCCTGGAGTGTGGAGGAATATTTTGGCTGTGTCCTGGCTCCTTACAGCCTGTTTTTCAGCACAGAAACCAAAACAATGCCCCCTCTGGGGATCCTTAAAGCTGGGTGGGCTAGGCCTAACCCCTTTCCTTGGGAGAAGGTCACTTCCTCAGCATCTCCCGCCCACAGAGGGAGGGTTCAGGAAAGTGGAAGTGGCTAAATAGCCAAAGAAAAATGACCCAGTGGTTGTCTTTGAATCCCAGTTCCTCTCCCATCACCCCAATATCCATAGCAAAAGAGCCCTGAGCTGAGTCAAGAGATCTGGGTTCTAGTCCTAGCTATCACTACCCTCTCTTGACCTTAATTTCCTCACCTACAAAATAAGAGATTTGGACTGGATCATATCTAAGGTTCCTTTAAGCTGTAAGAATCTATGATTCTCATGTAGTAGATATTCAGTATATAATTATTAATTTTTCTTTTAATTTGGGGGTGGCTGTAATTTAGTAGAAAGAACACAGGGTTTAGCGTCAGAAGACCTGAGTTTGAATGGTGGCTCTGCCACTTACTAGCCACGTGACTATAGACAAGTCTCTTACCTACTCTGAGCCTCAGTTTCTTCACCTGTAAAAGGGGATAGTAATACTTGTCCTGTTATTCCACCTGGTATTACGAAGATCAAATGAAATACCTTATGCAAAACACTTTGCAAACTGTAAAACATTCTATAAATGGTATTATTTTGACTATTTTATCTTAAGGTGCCATACGCTGCCATTTTCTAAAGTGACTTTTAGGGCAGCTAGGTGGCACAGTGGATAGAGTCCCAGCCTTGGAGTTAGGAGGACCTGAGTTCAAATCTAGCCTCAGACACTTGACATTTACTAGCTGTGTGACCCTGGGCAAGTCATTTAACCCCTAACTGCCTCACCAAAAAGCAAAAAAAAATATTAAATAAAGTGACTTTTAGTTTCTGAGTCTGCCAATCCAACATGACTTTTGTGCTTTTCCTTCTGAGTATACTTTCTTCAAATGCTTATCCAGTACCTGACACCATGATACTATTCAGGAGCCCCGGGGTTATAGATACAAGCAAAATGTATAGACCATGCCCTCTGAGGAGCTAAGGCCTAAAGGAGGAAATGGAAAAACAAGCAAGGACTAACCAAAAATGGACAATACACACAATACAAAACAAATACAAATACAAAACAAAAATACACAATAGCTGTATCTTGATCATTCAGGGTAATGGATGTGTGGTTGGGAAAAAAAAGAGGCACAGATGATATAAAACAATTAATGACATCAGATCATATATACTTAATTTCAGATTACAGGTGCCCTGAAACTGACATATTGACTTCTAACCTCTACCTTGCTCAGCTCTGTTGATAAGAATGAGGTCTTAGAAAACTGTGGATAATTTGTTCTTAAGTAATTGAGTTGATGAAATACTGTGTCACAGCTAAAAAATTTAATGGGTGCTAATGCCAGGTGCAAGGAAGAATAATTAGGAAATTCACCAATTGTGTTTCTGCTTGTCTTTATTTTCACAAAATACTTCATTAGAAGTCATTTCTGCCTTGACTGTGCTGACGAGTCAAGGAAACTACATAATTCTTGGATTTTATACCAAGGAAACAAACTCATGAGATGCTTTATGTGCAAAAATTTCTAATGAGGACAAAATGCTTTAAACAGTTGACTTTCAAAATAAAAGTGGAAAGAGAAGCACAGTTTATTGCTAATTGTTTTTTCCTGATGTGTATTTTAGCTTAGGTAAAGGCTCTATATTACCAGCATATTACAATTGCTTCAAAGGCAACAAAAGGTTTCCTTAGTTACCCATAAATAACTGTCTCCCACCTTTGCCCAAATGCCCATTTCTATTTCATGACCTTACCGAGATATGCCCCATGGTTCTTCAGCTCTTCAGGGAATTCCTTTAGATATGACTCTCGGTGAGGAATGACTTTTCCACCACTGGTCTCCTTCAGCACAGCTCCATTCCAGTCATATGCGCCAACTGCTCCCAGCAAAATCCCATCCTAGGCAGGAAGAAGTGGAACCCAAAACAATCCATGTCACTCCTAGAGAGAAAGTCTTTGCATAAAAGGAAATGGCACTGCTAGTATCTCCATCTTATTATTTTTTTTTTACCCTTAACCCTTATTTCTGGTCATTAATTGAATGGAGATCATCTTCTTGCCCAGCCCTGTGAAGTTAAATGAAGGTGATCCTAGTAACTGAATTTTAGGAAGGAGAATTAGTAAAGAAGAGCCTCCAAAGCCATATACGAATTCTGGTCCCTGGCCAATTGCAAAATTTCAAGACCCAAGTTCAAAACTCACTGCCTCCAGGAGGTCTTCCAGACTCTGTTGCTACCTACCTTTGTGGCTTGGACAGATCACTTAAACTCTCTGGGCCTCAGTTTCCTCCCTTGAAAAATGAGGTTGGACTGAATGGCCATCCAAGGCACCTTTCCCTCTCTAGACCTCTGATCTTACAATCTCATAATTGCCATTGTCTTACACACGGAATGACACCCCCTTTAGCAGTCATAAATACAGCCTGTATATCTTCAGCTTTTGTTTTGTTGGTATCCCTAATATTTTTGTCTGCTTTTTTCCCCCTAGGCTGATGGCAAGCTCCCTGAGGGCAGGGGTTGCTATGCCTTCCGCAGTTTGGAAGTGACCACTTCTATTTCTGCCCATCAATGTTTTGGTTCAGTGTCTGTTTCAATGACTTAGGCAGTGAGATTAGATTTTGGTTTCTCATGGAAGAGTTTCCGTGCAGGGCTGTGGGAATAAGGGTGAATGTATAAACCTAGAGTAAATCACACGGTCACTTTACTTCCTCCAACTTTTTTTGGATTCAGATGAAATAAGAAAACAGAAAGTGCAACTTTCAAGGGGGAAATGATGTCATAATAAGGCATTAGGGAAGACACTGACATTAATATAATTAGGAAACTCAATTAGTACAGATTAGCACCTGCTTTGCCAGTTGTGGTTTTAATGAGCTGCTTGGGGCACTGACGTTAAGTGACATGCCCAGGGTCATGTACCCAGTATATGTTAGAGGTGGGACTCAAATCCATGTCTTTATCACTCTGAGACCAGCTTTCTGACCACTTTGCCACAATGCCTCTCATGGCAGATGCATTTTCTCAACTCTTCTCTGGGGTGAAATTTATTGAATTTAAACGATATAATTTAATATAAAATTATTTTCTCAGGGTCAAAAAACAGAATTTGAACCTGCAGCCTCTGACTCCAAATCCAGGGATTTTTCCCACTATAGCAACATCCTCTCCATAATAACAAAGATCCCTTGCCTTTGGAGATGGTGATGGGGGTGGCAATTTCCCCATCCGTTATCTAATTTTGTCCTTTTAACAATCCCATGAGATATTTAAGTCAGGAAGTATTCTCACCATTTGACAGATAAGGAAACTGAGATTCAGGGAAGTTTAGAAACTAGCTCATAGTTATACCATGTCAGAATTGGGCCTGGCAACTAGGTGACCTCATTCTGATGCTTTATTACTCTTGCTTTCTGTGTTCAGGAATATTCAGTGCTCTCTTAAGATCCTGTTAAGTTACTCAGCCAGGTTATAGCTGATTACAGGTTACAGATTAATGGAGGGCCATCACATACTCCAAGGCAGGTAGGGTAAAACTGTGTAGGAAGAGAAAGTTCCTAATGTTCTCTAACACCAGATGGATCCTATTCTCCATTTTCCATCTGAAACTCTGGGAGGTATCCATCAAAGTCGGTTTCACCCCTCTTTGCCCACTGAGTGAGAGGATGCAACTGTGGACCAATCTGCTTTGCTTTAGAGAGATGCCTTTGAAGATACATTCTTGGCTTGGTGAATACCTCTGTAAGCCTTGCAGCACATCTTGAAGAAGGACTGATTCAAACCAGGAGCTTGCAACCCAGCTGGGACCTCCACTCTCCCCAGGCCCTGGGAGGTTTGGGAATTCCATCTGAAAATGTTGGCAGCTTGAAGGGGTCTGGCAACACTGGCTTTATGTCTCTTTGGCAACAGGAACAGAGCCAGCCTTGCTGCTAACTCTGTGATTGTAGAGGCTAGGAAAGGCCCTCCTATGGCCAAAAATACCTCCCCTACCTCTGGCTGACATTCCAACCTCCACACGCTATTACTTTAGCTTGAGACTTTGATCTCCACAGGAATACAAATTCTTCTTGAGCGGTGGACACTGTAAGTTGTTATCAGTTATTGACATGTTCGAGCAACTGAGTTCATTACATTGTTCTTTTAGAGTAAGGATCCTTAATTTTTCTGGGTCATGGACTCCTCTGTCAGTGTGGTGAAACCTATAGACCCTTTCTCAGAATACCATTTTCAAATGCATAAAATAAAATAAATAGGATTACAAGGGAAATAGGTTACATTGAAATATAGTTATTTACATTAAAAAAACAACAACTTCAAAGACCCTAGTTCAGAACTCCTGCACAAGAGGGAGCTGTGAAGAGGAGAAGATCAGGACTCTGAGCCAGAAGATACTGGGTACCACATAGTATGTATGGGTGTTGAAGGGAGGTAGGAGGCCAATAAAAACAAAGTCCATTGATTTCACAATTTTACCCGAGCCAAGGAGGCACATATATTTTGTTTAGAAAAGTAAGATGGGGAGTGGCTGGTGACTGGGTCTTGATAAATGAAGTCAGGAGTGTCAACACATTCAAAATATCCATCCTTGGCCATCTGGGAATCCAAGGTTTTCAGCTGCTTCCTGACTGAGGCCATTCTCACTTTCCCCCTACTCTCCCAATAAGGCCAGGAAATTCTGGTCGGGTAGCCTTTCCCAGGAGAATTCTTCTTATGGCTGAACATGATAAAAGTCATGTTTGGTTGACTTGTTGACAGACCAAGAGTACTGGGACTCTATTCCCTTATCTGTCTCAGAGAGGGGTAGAGAGGACATAGTCTTAATGAAACCTCTGGCCCTGGCTATTTTGCTGATAGTTGGATTAACTGTCTTGTCAATGGGATGGAAGTGGAGAGGCAGAGGTAGGGGATTTTCTTTGGGGGTGGATCTAAATCTCTAATCTTGGCATTAAAAAACATGCTCTGGTTGTGCCCAATCAAACAAATACCTTTACTGAGCACTTACTAGGTGCCTGGACACTCTCATAGGTGTGTTGGGAATGATAAAATGTATTGGGGGGTGATCAAAGAGAAGTCTCCTGCTTTCAAGTTGAGATCAAAGGGAATAAGGGCTGTGTCCACCTTGTCCTCAAGTTGGGGTCGAAGAGAGCCAAAGGAAGTGAGGGCTGTGTCCTGCATCAAGGCAGTCAGATGCCATCTGTCCTGCGGTGCAGAATTCTGGAAGGTTGAGTCACTGCTCTTGTTCTGTGCACATGGGATCATGGGGCCATAGGACTGAGTTTTAGATCAGAACTTAGAGACCACCCAGTTCACTCTCTCCCCTTATTTTATAGGAATCTAAGGTGTAGAGAGGTTAGATGACTGGTTCAAGGTCACACAGGTGGGAAATACAAGCATGGAAATTCAATCTCAGTTCCTTTGATCCAAATGTATTTCTTTTCCTTCCAGCTGTATTGGCTACCTATAGAATGATTTGATGAGTGCAGGAAGGGAGCCCTCTCCATTTCCATTGGCCTTCCCCAGTGCTTGAAATACCACCAATAACACTTTTTTAGAGCAAGGCTACTGTGTCTCAGAAAGACATTTTCCAAAACAAAAAATGTGCCTTCTAGGAAGGAATGATATGTTAACCATTTGTCAAGATTAATTTATCAGAAAACTGATAGCTATGGAGCAGAGAACAGAACCATGAAGGAATGGGACATAGGATAAATGAATTTTTATGGGCTTGTATAAGGATGAGGAGCTGCCCTAGCTCACCCAAGGCCTCTCTCCTAGAAGGCTGGAGTTAGGGGGTGATGGATGGTGGATAGATTTTTAGGAACAAGGAGAAATTGTTCATAAATGTACTGCTAGATTGTTTGAAGTCCTGGAAGTTGTAGCAATTAAGGTAATGGCATATGTATCAAATTTGCAGATGGCATGAAGGTAGGAGGAATATCTAACACACTGGATAACTAAGCCACAATTCAAAATGATCTTGATAGGCACGAATATGGAGTTAACTCCAATAAAATGAAGTCTATTAAGGATAAATGGAAGGTCCTATGCTTGGAATAAAAAATAAACTTCACATGTACCAGGGTAATAATAATAATTGACATCTTCTCAGCACATTATAAATATATATTCTCATCTGTTCCTCACCACAACCCTTCAAGATAGGTATTACAAGTATTATTATCATCATTTTAAGAGGAGAAAACTGAGGCTTGATATTGTTCAGTAAATTTTCAATCATTTCCAACTCTTTGTCCAACCCCATTTGGGGTTTTCTTGGCAAAGATACTGGGATGGTTTGCCATTTCTTTTTCCAGATCATTTTACAGATGAGGAAACTGAGGCAAATAGGGTCACACATCTAGTAAGTATCTAATAAGTGTCTAGCTGCCCAGGAAACTGAGACACAGAGAGGTTAATTGATTTTCACTGTGTCACAAAGCTGCATATGTGAGAAGCATTAAGAAGGGCAGCTAGGTGGCACAGTGGATAGAGCACTGGCCTGGGAATTGGGAAGATATCTTTCGGAGTTCAAATTCAGCTTCAGACACTTACTGGTTGTGTGACCCTGGGCAAGTCACAACCCCTATTTGCCTCAGAGTTCCTCATCTGTAAAATGGGGACTCGCTGGAGAAGGAAATGGCAAACCACTCTAGTGTCTTTGCCAAGAAAACCCAAATGGGGTCATGAAGAGTCAGACTTGACTGAAAAAATGACTGATTGGCTGTATGATTAATCTAATAAGACTAAAAAGGTAGTTTGGGTCCAGGATGTGAAGAGTTTTAAATGATAAACCAGAGGGGTTAGTTTGAATAAGATAGTGTTTAACATTCTTTTCATTTGTAATATTCTATCAGTTACTGATTCCAATAGGAGAGGTTAAGGGGGTGATAGTGTATGTGTTGC